TCCATCATGTCCGGCACGACAGAGGGTTTCTCAAGAAGCCTACATATGACGCCATGTGAATCGGGCTCTTGAATGGTGGGAGGGACCTCTTCAATGATGACAGTGGCCTCTTGAACGGTGGGAGGGGACTCTCGAGGAATGATATGGGGGGCCTCTTCAACGATAGGAGTGGACTCTTGAGGGATGACAGGCGAGTCGGGCTTCTTCTTGCGGTGTCTTCGCACTATTGGGGTGTACGGAGACTTAATAGCACGTGCACGCTGTCTGATGCGTGAACTCCGTCGTGCAAGCATAACCCGACGTAAAGCATCCACTCTATCGGGCCGCTAAATAATTAAATACAAAAATCAGTAAATAAACAGACATGATATTTAAACAGTGAAAACAAAGACAAATATGTTTCAAACTTGCATTGTATTCACCCAAGTCATTATTCTATCATAGTTCACAAAATGCATCAGATAACAAAGAAAAATATGTTTCAAACTAATACCCTGAAGTTAGTATTTGTTTTGTCTATTGGTTGAAGTAAATTTATCCATTCAAGTTTCAATTTGCAGAAGAAGAAATAGTTTACTTTCGCAACACGAAACTTAAAATCGCAACGCGAAACCAAAATCGCAACGCGAAATGAAAATCGCAACGACAGAATCGCAATGCGAAATGAAAATCGCAACGAAAGAATCGCAACGCGAAATGAAAATCGCAATGCGATTTTGGTTTCGCGTTGCGATCTTGTCGTTGCGATTTTGGTTTCGCGTTGCGATTCTGTCGTTGCGATTTTCATTTCGCGTTGCGATTTTGGTTTCGCGTTGCGATTTTAAGTTTCGTGTTGCGAAAGTAAACTATTTCTTCTTCTGCAAATTGAAACTTGAATGGATAAATTTACTTTCAACCAAAAGACAAAACAAAGACAAATACTATTTCACAGTGTTAAAGAATACACAGTTTAGCAGAATTGGCAGCAACCGAACAAATTTACTTTCAACCAAAAGACAAAACAAAGACAAATATATTTCACAGTGTTAAAGAATACACAGTTTAGCAGAATTGGCAGCAACCGAACAAATTTACTTTCAACCAAAAGACAAAACAAAGACAAATATATTTCACAGTGTTAAAGAATACACAGTTTAGCAGAATTGGCAGCAACCGAACAAATTTACTTTCAACCAAAAGACAAAACAAAGACAAATACTATTTCACAGTGTTAAAGAATACACAGTTTAGCAGAATTGGCAGCAACCGAATAAATTTACTAAGCAATCTAAGTGAAATGGCTAATCTAAGTGAAATTACGAGTAAATTTATCATTAAGTTAAACATGGAAAATCTTAAACTTACCTCGTTGCGTAGAGTAATAACCTCATTCTGCAACGATACTATCATCTCACGTAGAGCGGCAACCTCACCACGTAAAGTTGACACCTCCACACGCCATGCACCATCGTTATCGCGTAGAGTACCGATCTCCTCACGCAAGGCATTGACCTCATCACGTAACTCCCTTGACTCATCCCGTTGAGGTGGAGGTGGAGAACAGGGAGATAGGAGTCGTGGCATCTTTGCCGGTCGCCTATCATGAGGTGATGGTGGAGAAGAGGCTCGATGATGTGACGGGATAGGTGATGGCTCTCGTTCTAGAGGTGTATAGTCGTCACGATCGGGTGATGGCTCTAGGTGAGGTGATGGCTCTCGAATTGGAGGAAGTGGATGCTGCTCATCATCCGTGCCATCAAAAAAACTCTGACTAGCTTGCCACCAATCAGTGGCAAGCTCTTCCTCCGTGGGTGACAGTCTTTGTAATGGAATGTTGGCCTCCTAAAATATAAAAACTCAAACAAAGTTAAACGTCTACTATTAATAACTTGTTTATATATTATATGAAAGTATTTGTGTTAACTTACATTATTTATTGTGGCATATGGTATTAAGTCTTCCCAATCCAACAGAGTTTTCCTCTTCCAGGAAATAGCCCTGGGAATATCATTTGACGTTTTTATTGCATATGTACGCATGCTGGGGAAAGCCTCGAATATCCAAATCTACAAACAATATAATAACAAAATTAGTAATTGTTAAATAATTAATTATAATTTTAGAAACATTATATAGAAATTCTTACCTTAAAGGCCCAAACAAAGCCTGACAAAGTGTATTTGGACCCATCGCCCCGCAAACTTTTGCGGTCATCAAAGGCAGACGACAACTTAGTCCAGGTAGCTTTCCATATATACGAACCCCACGGAAACAGATTCCATGCATTCAGGTCCTCTACCAATATTATTAGCTCCCGATGAATAGGTTGTCTGGCCTCTCTGCCTAAAAAGCCGGCATACACAAGTAGTAGAAGGCATACTCGGACAACATCGACGTCTTCCATCCGAGTGAAACCAGCTTTCTTATTAAATAATTTCTTCAGGTCGTCGACATGTAGGTTCGGCTTCTCCATTGACTCATCCGGAAAAACCCGGGATAACCATGATGGGCGGGCGATATGACGAGTGTACCGGCCTACATCATCGTGTCCGAATCGTAGACCAGTGATTAAGCAGAACTCCTTCCGCCCAAAGCAAGTATACGCTGGTGGAAAATGAAACCATATCTCTTCCTCACCACGTTGTATACTGTCGGGTAGATTTGATGTCATGGTCTGAAGCCACAAATGGGTCAAATTAGCATCTCCACCCGGATGCTGTACTCTCAGCCATGGCCCGAAGCAGGTTTCCTCAAACAATTGTCTTTGAGCAGGTGAAAGCTTCTTTGCAATTGTAGTGGCCAGGCTGACTTTATTTCTCAAGGTCAATTGAGCCGAAAAAAATTTCTACAAAAACAATAAACATACCAAGTTAGATATACCAAAAACTACACTGTGAAGATATACCAAAAACAATAAACATAAAAAGTAGTAGTTTATTCTTGAAACTAAAATTTGCAACACTGTTTTGTCTTTTGGTTGAAATGAAAATCGCAACGAGAGAATCGCAACGCGAGATGACAACCGCAACGAGAGAATCGCAACGCGAAATGAAAATCGCAACGAGAGAATCGCAACGCGAAATGAAAATCGCAATGCGATTTTGGTTTCGCGTTGCGATTCTCTCGTTGCGATTTTCATTTCGCGTTGCGATTCTCTCGTTGCGACAGTCATTCTCTCGTTGCGATTTTCATTTATCTCGTTGCGACTCTTCTGCAAATTGAAACTTGAATGGATTGCATTACTTCAACCAAAAGACAGAACAAAGACAAAGACAAATACTAACTTGAAAATCGCAACGAGAGAATAGCAACGCGAAATGAAAATCGCAACGACAGAATCGTAACGCGAAATGAAATCTAAGTGAAATGGTTAATCTATTATTGAAATGACCAGTAAACTTATCATCAGTTTCAATATGAAAAACCTACAATAATGCAAACATTTCAAATAAAAATAATTAAAAAAACTAACCCTCGGAGGTTGATTTTCCATTTCTGAATATTGTGAGGGATTTCTGACCGTGAATGGTTGTGAGGGATTTCGCCGGAGATGGGGACGGAAATCTTCGGAGATGGGGACGGATTTCTTCGCCGTAGAGAGTGAGAGATGGAGATGGGACTGAGTTGTGATTTTAGGTTTTAGGTTATGAGTTGCGATTACGGGATTTTGTCTTAATATTCTTTTTGTAATTTGAAAATAAAATACGCGTAGCGATTATAATGGCGCTTTAAATATCGCGTTGCGATTTACGGATACGCGTTGCGATTTTATGTATTATCGTTGCGATTTACGGATACGCGTTGCGATATACGGATACGCATTGCGATTTACCCATACGCGTTGCGATTTACGGATACACGTTGCGATTTACGGATACGCGTTGCGATTTATGTGTTCGCGTTGCGATTTTCATATTCGCGTTGCGATTATTGAAAATCGCAATGCGAATTTGTACTATCGCATCGCGATTTTCAAGAATCGCGTTGCGATTTTGGAAACTGATTTGCGATTCTGGGGATCGCGTTGCGATTTTTATTTCGCGTTGCGATTTTGTTGGTCATTTTGGCAAATCCAAAAAAAGTTGGTTAAAATCGTATATTATAACTTTTTTTTGGTCACTGAGGCGATTTTCTCTTTATAATAAACCGGCGACTCATCGTCAACAGTCGGTAATGGGAATAACATAATGCTGATGTGGCATACTAAATCGTACGACCTGGCGCCTTCACCGAGGATTCAGTCTTCATGGGTTTTTAAGTGTTATAGCAATTCTAGTGGAGTGATTTCTTTGCTACCTTCTCGACCGGATACTCGTAAAGAAATCATTAACCCTAGAATTTTGTGGCAAACCCATTTTTTTCCTACCGAGAGGCGGATGCACTAAGTTCCAATAGGGGTCAAGTGCATCCCCATTATTACAGCCGTCATCTCTTGCTCCCTTCTTTTGGAGTCCAAGGTAAAACGAAAAAAAAGGAAATATTTTCGTTTCTTGGATTTTACGTGATTAAATTGAACTAAAAGCTTTTTTTCCAGAATTCAAATGATAAATTTCTTGAATTGAAGGTTTAATGCTAGCGGTAGTAGAAAATGCTTGTTTGAAAGAATTAACTTTAGTGACGTGCAATTGGAATCATATTTTTTTATCTTTTAGTAATTTAGTTCCTTGGTATTGTTTATAGCGCAATCGAATCTCTTGAAGTCTTCAATACTAGTTGTTGGAGCCGGAGGTTTGGGTACAGCGGCTCTCTTATATCTTGCAGGTTGTGGTGTTGGTAAGCATACGATGCAGCATTTTCAAGGCATTCCCAATATTTCATTGGTTCTTCTGACATCGTGATTGAAAAGGGGTTTGTAATCTTTTAGTTTTGTTTGATTATAGGTCGATTGGGAATGGTCGATCATGATGTTGTGGAGCTTATCAACATGAATAGACAGGTATACCTATAAGTTATAGATTCATGATATTGCTTATGTTCAATGGTTCTGTTGTTCCTGTTCAAATTATAAGCACAATCACGTGTTTAGAGCTCAGCACAAGAGCAGACATTACATTGCATTTTCACATGATCTTATAGACTTCATCATGGTAATGGAGCAAATAAGCATAAAGTTCACAAACGGACACGAGGATTTGAACTCCAAGAATCCTCCAAACATGGAAAAACTGGGAAATTTCTAAACAATACCTGTGTCGGATACAACTCGGAATCGAACACTCCCATTTGAATCCGAGTAACATAGGTTCTAAAAACAATTGTCGTCCTGGACAGAAGACACCAAAATTCTGAACCCCAGACTCAAAGGGGCAGTGCTCTAGTACAAATTCTGCTTGTTACTCCAAAACAAGGCACTCTTGAGCGCCAGACACCATACCGCGGTGGGAGCTTTCGGCAATGACATCGTCTTTTTCGAGAGGAGGAGCCTTGAGTAAAGTTTCAGTGCCATTTCCAATAACATTTTCACTGCCTGCGATGGCTTCAAAAATAAGTGCATTGACTTCGCAAAACCTCTCTTCAGAGAGAGAAACCTCGGCAAGTAGCCTCCAAGCATTTTCTTCAGATGCTTCATCATAATCCTTCCTCCTTTTTAACACCATATGACCACTAATTTCCCACACGGCTGGGTTCACCTGCGTGTCTAAAAGCTCCGGACTCACTTCCCCAAGCGCTTGTTTCTCGGCATAACACTGTTGCAAAGTTAATTATAAGAACTAGCAATTTCTCGTGGATGGTAAAATTGCATTGGTACAGTTCTAGTTTATTACCTGTGGGAGGAGAAAGATCCGCTTTCCACAATCAGAGATGAGGACATTGTATGGTATGTTGTTTTCTTGGAGGCAAATGCAGGCGTCAGATGCAATCTCAGACAAGTCCCGGAGAGTTTTACCACCCTCGAACACGAGACCTCTCACTGGATACTTTAAGAGCTCCGAGACCACCACTCCACCGGTCAAAGTTAACTTCTTTGTTGGAGCTTTCTCGATGGGAAAGGGCATAGCCAAATAGTAAGCCTGGACCGATTCAAATAGTTAAAACCTTTTCCTTTCTAACTGGTATAAAACTATATCTTAAAGCACCAGATAAGGAAATCATATACCTGGAAATGAAGATGATTGATTGTAGCAAATGCGCCCAAACTGTTGTAACCAAACCTGAAGTACGGATTCCCGGCTTCAGCTGCCATATAAAGTGCAAGCATGAAGCTCTCCTGATCAATCCTCTGAGGAAAGCATTCAAAAATCCGAGGGATCAACAGCACATGTCCATATTCAATGGGACTAACCTGTTGAAATGTATACAAAAATAATCTGTAATGATTAACAGTTCCATGAAAATATATAAAATATAAAATATTTTTATCTAAAAAATTGGTATAATTACATTTAAAAATTTAAAACCCATAAATAATTTATTAATAATGTATTGATAAAAAAATATCAATTTATAACTTGTGAAATAAATATACTAAAGGATAGCAAAGGAAAGTTAAAACTTTAATTCGACCCCGTAAGCACTTTTCCACGTATAAAAACTAAAATTTTCAGCATTTACATTTGGATAGAAAACCACTATTCAAATGCATTTTTTTCTCCAAAATGATCTGTTTAACATTGCTTATGGTTCCAAAAGTGTTTTTGGCCCCAAAAGTACTTTTAATGAGCAATGGTGAAAGGGAGTGACTTGTTCTCTAACACTGAACAAGTAAAACTAACTTACATTAATGGCAACGACACTTGGAGAATTCTCAACATCGATGGGAGCATTTGGAAAGAACTGAACTTCACCATCTTCACTTGCTTCAAACTGGAAGAGTACCTCTTCTTGCCCAACTTTGGTGAAGTTGAATTTGTTGCCATCAAATGGCTGAAGTACCGTATCAACACGGAACTCGGTTGGCCTCTTCTTAAGATGGCGGCCCTCATTCAGCTGGGCAATAAAGCCGTATTCACCGGGAATCACCTAAACAATGGTAACAATGGAAAATTTTCATGGTACCACAACCAACAACTCAATTAACCAGAAATTTTCTAGTTTAAACATAGGCAGATAAACAAATAAAGCAAAGAAATAAAAAATGGAGTCTAAAATAAGACCTTGGTTTCACAGGCAGTGACATCATAGCGAAAGAGTCCTCTTTGCATCCGATCCTCCCACTAACATAAAACAAAAATTATATTTTAACCTCACAATTTGTAATATAAAAATTACTAATCATAACAACCATCTCTGATTCCATTCACCAAGATCTTAATATCAAAATTTACCTCTCCAAGAACGAGTGAGTCAAGAAAAGCAACTGGGGGTTCTTTGTTCTCAATTTTAAGCACGTCTTCTTCAAGCTCCATATTGTTCACCTTCTTGAAAGCATATAAAGGAAGCTTTGCTCCTATATACAAAAGCCCAGATCCAGTTAAACCTCATTTCAATTAAAACGTATCAAACCAAGCAAGGTTTTCAAAGGAAAATTAAAAAATACCTGGAACGCAACAGCTTCTAAGGCAATTCTTTCCACATCCACCGCTACGACGACCAGCATCCTCCGCCTCATCCTTTTGGTAATTCGAAACAACAGTGGGAACCCTCTTAATCCTGAGCATCATCTTTGCTACTACTTATCTTCTTTCTTTATCCAATAAATATCAAACAAAGGAAAACAACAGCCTTTTCTTCTTCTTCTTCTTACGAGCGATCTCAACAAGCTTCAACGGATTTTCTTTTATATAGACTAAAAGTTATCTATATATATTACCGAAAACCTAAACGACAAGACCACCACCAGCAAGGAAGAGTAGATCAGAAGGACTACCGCCTTCGGAAGGCAAAGCTCCACGCCCACCGTGCGGCGAAGGGTTGCTCTCGATCACACAACCCTTACGTCGTACAGCAAGGACATGACCAGCAGGCCGAGAAACTCCGTGTATAGCCGTGATGCCCACAATTTGTCTGACCCTGGGTATTACCCCTTCAAAACCAATTTAACCAAACACCCAACCCCCTCAGCTTAAAAAATACCAATACGGGACTTTTATCGAACACCTGGAGTGCATTAAAAAAAAGTAAGAAAATGGAGAATTCAACTCTTTTTCTGGTAGGTGGGGTTATAGGAAAATTGAAGAAGAAGGGATATATATATATAGATAAGAGAGGAGTGAAGGCGAAGGGAAACGGTGTGGCGTTTGAATTTGGGAGGGGATTGTGGCTATTATAGCTGCGACAAGGCGAGAAAACAAAGCTAGTGGCCCTGGTGAATCGTTCAATTAACTTGAAAAAGAGACGAAAAATCTATTTACGGTGTGAAATCTAATTACTTGTTCGGTGAATAAAAGAGCCCCATTTTTCTGGGAAAACGACAGTCGCTCTAGCTATTAACCACAAATCTCAAGCGCATACCCTTTGCCGAAGAGACGGTGATGGTGTCCTCTTGCTTAACCACACAATTTTTTTAGGTTGAGGTATTTTTTCTTTTCTTTTCTCTTTATTGTCATTTTTAAAATTTTATCGCTTTCGTCCATTCGATACTTTTATATCGATATAACCGTTAAATTTATTTAATTTCATCATTCTATATCTTATCATTAACTTTAAACACTAAATTTTAAATCTTAAACTATAATCCCTAAACCCTAAACCCTAAACCCTAACCACTAAATCTTATCTTAAAATCCTAAACAATACTAAATATTTAAAACATTGATACAATTGAACAGATTCAAAGATTAAATTAATAAAAAAATACGATAAATATAAAAATGGTAAATTAACCTACTACATAGACAAATAGTAGACAAAACTAACCCAACCACCAAATTATAATGTGTTAAAAATTGGGCACACATGAGATTTTTTTTTTTTGAATTAGGATGTTTTTTTTTATAATATTCCTTGAAAATCATCTAAATCATAAAATGATTTTTGAAAAAACGTTTGAATCATTCGATGATTTTTAGAACACCACCAACTAATATTAAAACCCTAAATATAAACCATATATTTAAATTGATTAATGGCTTTATAAAAAATAATGATTAACCTAAATAAAGTGCAGAAGGTTAAATAATGAAACCCAAGATTTGACCTTTAAAACATAATCCATTTCCAACAAAATAGATTAAAGAAAAATATAATAATTATGTCAAATGAAGGAACCAAGCTAGAAGTATAATTTTGTAAAAATAAGATGCCTGGCAATCCTTCAATTTTGTTTATGAAATTAAAAATTAAATGCTTATAAATGTTAGTAATTGAGCAAAAATAGTCACCTGTCAAATTTAACAAAATAATAATAATTTCACACTAATGCAAGAAAATAATTTTTATATATTATATTTGTATATTGTTTAATTGTCAACCAATGTAAGAGTGGAAACACCAACAAGATTGATTTAAGTAGTAAGCATCTTAATATCGCTTAAGCAATATCTCAGGTTCGAGTCATTGTGTATGCAACAAAATTTCCGTTAAGATATTCAACCACCAAAGTTAACGTGTGTGTGACCCGGATTAGTTCATATTAATCATGACTAAACCTTGTAATTGGAGGGCAAACAAAAAAGAGAGAGTGGAAACGAATAAAACATGTTAACACCCCTGCACGAACCAAACGACTTCAGTGGTTCAATGGATGATTTTTATTCCTAGAGATTTTGGGTTCGGACACCAACTATTATATGATATTCGAACATTTGTTATCAAATCATTACGAATATTTAGAACAAATACTACCACTTATAATCATCATATATTATAAAAAATAAAGTAAATTACACTGTTCCTCACTAAACTATACCCTCTTTCCTATTTTCATCACCAAACTTTCAATTTGCTCAATTTGCTAATTGAACTTACATATTGAATCATTTTGCTCGCTTCCTCATTTTCTCTCTAACGTTTGGATGATGTTGTATTTTTTAAAATTATTTTTAATATAAAATAATTAAAAATATCAGATAAAAACATAAGGTGATCATATGTCACTGTCGGCTACCGTCGACCGCCGTAGATGATGGTCGTTCGGTTTCTTATTTCATGGGTCGCTTTGTCTCGACATCGTGAGTCCGAATCCAACCTCTATTCTGTCGAAAGTTGATTCGAAGTCCACGAATTTGAGATTAAAAATGAGAAAGCCGAAACATTCCAGTCGAGATCCACGGATTTTGAAACATTTTCTGGTGAAACAACCACTAGAATCGGACTCAGTGGGTCGAGATGAATTGACCCATTAAATTTGAGACCAAACCACCACCGTTAACGATGGTGGACGATGGACGGAATAAAAATGACGTGGTGGTCGGTAAGAGTGTTCAAATCCGGGTACTCAGATCTTCGGGTAATTGATTGGTCGACCAATGTCCAAACCCGGATGTTTTCGGGTACCTGATTTTTTATTGTTTTTAAATTATTAATTTTTTGAAAAAAAATAATACAACTTATACTATTAAACAAAATATTATAGTAATTATTAAATATACATTTACCAGCTGGGTGAGGTTTTTTTTAATTTTATTAGTTTAATTTAATATATAAAATTATTAATAATTAAATATATAATATTATTATATATAAAAAATAAAAATAACTGGGGATTCTGGTAATGTGGTACTCGAAAAAAATGTAATTTTGTGACCTGGGCCCCGGAGGGAAATGTCGGGTTGGGTACCCATCCCGGTCGTATATTTTTTTTAGATAATTACTCGGTTTTTATTCGGATCGGATGGTCAACGGACAGGGTCAACCGTGTCGTGTATTTTTAAACACCCTAGTGGTCGGCGGAAAGAAAATGAAATAGAGAAGGAAAAAGGGTAAATTACACCATTCCTCCCTGAACTTTTCTCTCATATTTTAGTCACTGTACTTTCCTTATAGGATTCTAAAAGACGTCGTTTTGGTGTATATTTTAGTTTTTCAAAACGATGTCATTTTGATGCTTATGCCATGTCATAACATCGTTAAATATTTAACGATAGAGTGAGTAAAATGATTCAATTTATAAAGTCCAATTAGCAAATTAAAAGTTGAAAGAAGAAAATAAGAAAGAGAGTATAATTAAGTGAATAACGATATAATTTACCCTTAAAAAATATAACACCCTTATTGAACATCACTAATTATTTCCTCACATTAACATGATGTGAAAGGAATTTTTTTTTTTAAAACCACAAGTTTGGAGATTTTCTAAGCTCTCACAAATGCAATTAAGAACCACAAAACAATACTACAAAAGCTGAGCAGCCCCACGTTTAAGTGGGGGAAACGATACTACAAAAGACGAACAGAGGCCTCAGTAGTGGGGCCCACATGTGTTAGAATATTAATCAAATCCTTTCGATTATTCCTATTTTTTGGGATCAATATTGAATCTCTTTTTCCCTTTTTCCATAAAAGAAAATTCATATTCCTTTTTATTAATGGGGTGTGAAAATCGAATCAGTGACTAAATCAACCAGTTTTAATTTATAGGGTAAAGTACACAAATGGTCCCCTAGTTACATGATATTATTTTATTAAGTCCATCGACTATTAAAAGTTACATAATGGTCACCCGACTATTTATTATATTATAAACTCGTCATTTTATGTTAAAAATTAACAACATTCTAAGCCGAACGTTAACCTACTGGCTATGATGTGATAAAATTTGATTCCAGAATCTCAAACGATTATCATATCGCAGACATCATGTTAATATTTAGTTTAAATAATCGTTAATTTTTTTAACAAAAATAGACGAATTTATAACCTAATGAATAATCAGATGATTATTTTATAACTTTTAATAGTCGAGATACTTAATACAATAGTACCCTATAGTTGGAGGACCATTTTTGTACTTTGCCCTAATTTATGATGGTTATATAAAAAATACATAAAAGAAAAAGAAATTGAATTTAATCAGATTTAATTTTGATATAATTTATTTTTAATAATATTAAATATTATTGCTATTACTATTAAATCGATGATATGATTTTTTTTTCTTAAAAAAAATCAGAAAAAAATCAGAATTGCATGTAAATTTATCGGTAACCCATTTTTTTATAAAAAAGTAAATCATTCCACAAACAGATTATAATCCTTAATCTCTATATGTTTAAAATCAATTTTCAATTATATTTTTTCTTTTACTCAAATTTAAACTAATAACTAAATTATCTCTCCATTACAAAAGCATTTTAGATTTTGGTGATTACCTCTTAGGGGTTGTTTGGTACGCGGAATATGAAATTCAGATGAGAATGAAATTCACATTCCCCGTTTGATTGGCCGGGAATGTCATTCTCGATAATGTTTTATTATCAATAGTAAATTTTTTAGAATATATTATCAGGAATGTTATTACCTCCCTTTCCTTAGGTATTGTTGGATTACCGACGTTTTGAAAAAAAACACCCTTATTTTCCCCCAAAAAATATCATTTTCTTTTATTGAATAATAAAAATCCTACAAAAATTAAATTATAAATTTATCCTTAAATTACAAATTTATTCTTAAATTATTTTAGATTTACAAAAAATTATTTATAATTAAAATTTTATATGAAATTCAGGGTTAAAATAAAATTTTACCCTTTCATTAAATCTTTTTATATTTTTAATTTTTAAAAAAATTCATATAAATTTTATGAATTTAATTTTTTTTTAAAAATATATATAAATATTTTTTAACTTGTTAAAAAAGCAAATATATAATAATGACAATTTGATCAAATATACATTCTAATAATCTTTTATTCTTTTAATTAAACACGATAATCTTACATTACTGTTAAATCAACCAAACACAAAATATAACATTCTCAGTAATCTTATTCCCTATTAATCTTTTATTCTCACTGATAATCTTATATTCCGGCACACAATCTCAGAGATCTTAACGGTTAGTATAAACATGACACAAATTGTTGGCCAAATTCCATGTATCCATATTCTTGGAGGGATCGAAGCATATTAAAAGCTGCAGAGTTTTCTGCTTCTTTTACTCTGGTTTTTTCCTCCCCACTGATGCATAAAATACCACCTTTCGTCGGAATTTTAACTGCAGATACGAATTTCTTCTCATGCGGAGGACCTTCATCTTTCTCAAGCCTGAGAGTTGAAGCAATGAAGGGTAAAGGATCAGAAGCTTTAGGAAACGGAAAACACATTCAACAACAGAGAATATTTTAACCAATGCGAAAGAGAGAGAGGAAAGAACATATATGTATCGAACAGTAGGTGAATTTGGAACCCTGAATTGTCTGTTAAAATTGTTGCATGATTAATCACAGTACAAGATAAGCAAAACATCAAGTGAACATATGCATCAAACTCGTCTGAACTTGGAACCCGGATTTCCCCATCGAAATTGCATCATGACGATAACAATTCAAGATAACATAGACAAAACATGAAATGGCATCGTCCTTCAAATTTGCATCAAAGACAACAATACAAGATTGTCCTCTAATTAACAAAGTGTAAAATATTTTCATTTCGGGATTAGGATATGAAACAGATATTCTTATAGGAGCCAAATCAATGATGGCATAATTCTACTAAAGTGAAGGGAATGTAACCAATTTCTCCATTGTGATAAGTATTGCTCATGAGATGAAGTTCTATAGTGGTCATCAATGGACAAAAGACGATTCCAACATGGAACGTTGATTTCTATATTGCTTTTAAGACCGTTCTAAAGATCAAGTTGCAATATCAGAAATGATTAGTCAAACATAAAACTTTGTCACATGCACTTATCTTCCTAAATGTAGATCATTATAAGTGATAAGTGCAAACTGCAGAGTAAAGCATATAATGCAAGAGATAGCGCATCTTTATGCTTAAAACCACATCTCATAGGTTTACAAGTATAAAAGCCTTACTCGTAGATAGGCTTGGACCATTTCTTCTTTGTGGAGAGCTCGTGCAACTTTTGTTTTGCTCCTTCAATCTTAAAAGACTCATCAATTCCAAATGAATCAACGTCAACAGCCATGGACTTTGATAACTTAAGCAAAGCTTTCTTTACCGCAGTAAGCTTCGCAATATCCTTTTGATACGAGGAATCCGATGCAATGAACTCTCCATCGACATATACTTCAGCAATGGTTTTTTCTCCATTTTTCGAATGTATTATGTCAACCTGCTTTCGTTGCTTTTGACATATATCAAACAATAATGTCACGGGTTGAGGCTGTTGCTGCAAATCTTCCAAGGTAACAATAGGCTCCAACAGACCTCTAAATATCTGCAATATATACCACAACTATTCATTTAGCACCAACCTCAAAGACAGTAACAAAATATAGCTTTTAATAAATACAAGCATCGAAGAATTATAATTCAAAAAATGGTAAACAACTTTAGAACATACCTTCCAAAGTGTTTCCAGATTATAATCGGCATCGATATAAATGGCAGCTGCGACAGATTCTACAATATCAGCTAAAATCTTAGGTGCTTTCATTGATCCACCGTAAGCCACTGGACCATCTTCCTCATTAACAATTTCAGTAAATTCCTTAACCTATAATAATATTATAAAACAAATAATCAAAACCACATTAAAATAGTTTCTAACTACATGTTTGATCCAACTTCAAAACCTTCAAAAAGACCATAAACGACGACGAAATTACCATTAGCGCAAGGTCAGCAGCATTGTGTCGAACGAACTGAAAAAGACGGTGTTTAACGGCGACACGGGCTAGTTTTTCCGTGCTTATGTTAGCCGATCTGATCAGCGAAAGCAGCCCCTGATCAAGCTTGGGGTAAGTCAGGTAAACGTAATTAGTAAAAGCAAGGCCCAGAGCTGCATCACCGACGAACTCGAGACGCTCGTATGAAGGTGAATCTGAGTACGAAGAATGCGTCAAAGCATCCTCTAAATGATGTTTATCCCGAAAACGGTAGTTGAGGATCCTCTCGACGGCGGCTATAGAAGCTTCCATGTCGGAAGGGGGCGAATCGGAAGGGGACCAGAGGAGCACGGCCATCTTTGCCTTATCGGATAAGCAAGGGGGGCGGAGTCGAACACCAAGGCTACAGTATACCGTACTGATGCGAGAGAAATGAACACAGACGAGAGTCGAGAGAGGTGATGAGTAGCAAACGCGGCTTGGGTTTATAAAAGAGAACTTTTTTATAGAAAAAAAAACAAATAAAAAAGTAAAAGAAATTTTAGTCACATTATTTGATTTGACTAACGATGAAGATTACTTAACGATGAAGATGAAAACAAATCATTCTAATTATTTTATGAAAATCATATTAGTATACTTTTGTCCTTATAAGATATAATTTATCACTTTTTATTCTATTATATTTTCGCATCAATTTAATTTTCGAATTTGCTCTACTGCACCATTTTATATCTTACCCCTAAATTATAAGTCTTAAGTTAAATTCAAGGTTTAAGGTTTATGATTTATGATTTAGATGTTGTGTGTTATGTTTTAAGGATTAGTGTTTATAATTTAGGGATTTAAGTTAGAATTAGTGTATAGAATGATGCAATCGAACAATTTTAAAAATTAAATTAATGTTATAATGTGATAATGACGAAAGTGATAGATTGCATCTATTACAGGAATAAAAATTACACTTCTGCCTTTATTTAACTTAACAAAAGAACGTTATAAGAACGATTCACAAACATTTTATTGAATGTTATGCTCGTTTATTCCCTATTTGGATATATAACAATTTTTGGGTCGGAGTATTTTAAGTGAAGTTTAAGATGAAGTTCGATACAAGTTAAAAAAAAATACATAGATTTGGTAAATTTTTGTCAATAAGCGACACAAAAGATCATAGATCGGAATTGGATAATACTCATCCAACACAATCTAAAGACATAAATTTAGTTACTTCTTTGAGTAGTCCCTTGGTCCAAAAATGGTGGAGCCAATCCTCACATTTGTACTGCCCATTTCAATCTGCAAAAGTTCAGCAAGTGACATTCATCAGTGGTGCAATCTGCAGATTGATCTTTAATCAAATACGGAAATGTACTAATCGACGACAACAACAACAACAACAAAACGGACGAGGGGTATATATCTAGATTTGCTAAAGAGTTCTCCATCGATGTTAAGTCTCGAAGAAAGTTTCAGAAGATTCGTATGTGCCCCCAGAAACCCGAATCAAACCAGTTTCGACTTCCATGGAAGGATTTGCAGTGAATGCATTCAATTTTTCAAACCAAAGTTTGTTCAGTGCCTTGCAAATTCCTCTTACCGCTTGTTCGAAGTCACCGGACATGCCCATTGATAGCTCACATTGATCTTCTTCCATTCCAAGTGCCTTGCAAACCTTAGCTCTACAGTTTGATAGTGTCTGTTCATCACACAAGACGTAAAATAATGCCGAAGAATGCTATCCGAAAATGAAATATACGAAAAGAGTGAACAGAAGAAAGCCTAATTCGGGTTTGGAAGTACCAAAAATAACCTACCACAGAAAATAAAGACAAATAGACTAGTGCATGCTAGGGAGAGAGTCGTTTCTTAGTGAATCCATTACCCTGAAATTCTCAGGTGTTGAGGTGTAGTCCGGCATCCCTATAGTCATTAAGCCAGAAAACTCCAAATGTGGACAGCGTAATTTAACATGTTCTGCAAGCCGAACACAACCTGACGGATCTATCCCGGCTTTTGCTAAACAACATCAAAGATAATCAATTGATCAGTCTACTGGATTTTAGACAAGGCTTTACATACAGAAAACATAAGCATGGCAACCAAAAAACATGATGAATTTGCTCCATATCTGTTATTCATAATAAGCGGCCGAATAACCAATATTTCATCTAGATATAATCTAGAAAAGTTCACGAAAATGGTCAAATACACAATGTTAAATGGCATGCTTGTAAGGGTCGGACAAAATGAACTGAAGATCTAAATCTTAAAGCAAGGACTCACAAGCTTCTCCGCTTGTATTTACTTGTACAAAAACCTTCAAAGGGTTTCTCCCGAGGCTTGAAACTCCACGATCAAGATGGTTTGCGATCTACAAATTACAAATGCAAGCAAGGCATTGTTTATTTTGTCTAAATGAAGGTATTTTGCTACATATCGTAGGCAAACATGAGATGTTCTGTATTTCAAAACGCAGCCTGGACGATAACCAAATACCTAACTTTCCTTTATACACAAAAAAATTAGAACAGAGAGGACCAAATCGTCACCTTCTCATTATCAACACCCTCAAAAAAGGCTAGATTTGGCACTCCACCTGCATTTAAGGGGAAAACAAACTTAAAGGGAAAAGAAATACAGAAACGACCATAATCTCTTTATAACAAGGTATAATACTACAATACAGGTTGCTTCGACTCTTCATTTTTTTATTGAAGTATACTGATTAGAACAGACCGGTGGACTGTCACGGCTACTCCGGTCTGTTCTACTATGCAGAAATGACCATAATCTTTATAACAAGATACAACGCTACAATATCTGGATGTGAATTTGAGGATATGACCATTCAATTACAAGGAAAAACTAATAAAAAGTTGATTATATCATATCCAATACATATTGGCATCAGCATAGCAAATAAGAACTTCATCAAGCTGCATTTTGGCATCAATTAACATTTATTTAATCATTTTGTTAGAATTTATTAAAGTTAATATATTAAATTTACTCGCAATCTGAAGCTTATTTTTGCAGGAAAAACAAAAGCAACCGAAGAATTATCAGTAAAATGTTTCACAATGTTATTTTATAACTTTGAGAACAGATTTTGAATCAATACATCGATTTGTTTAAAAAAAGATTGAAATAATAAATACTATATTTAATCCAAACGAGAAAAATTACCATACCGAGAAGCGTCTTAACCTTGTTACTCTGTAAATGTCCAATAAAATGCCACTCAATATCCTCAGGCAGCTGCCAAAAACAACAAAATTGATTAAAAAGAAAAACGGGAAGGAATTTTTTCTTGTTGAAAAACAGATGAATTTTATTTTTCCCATAGAACACCTGAGGGGCTTTTTGAACAAATTCTTGGACGTAATTCTCGCCGAAACAGCGGTGACCGGCGTCGTACACTTGCCGGATAAGTGACTCGGGTTTAGTCTTCGAAACCGCCACAACACGGACACGTTCGGGTTGAGTCCCCGCCCGTTCTGCTGCCTTCCGTACTCGGAGTATAACAGATCGGAGAGCCGTGACGGCTACTCCCTCCGCTGCCGGAGCCACCATTTTTTATTTTCTACTTTCTAATTTTGTTGTTATTTTTAAGTGGCGCAAATTCTGAAAATAAATCTGAATATTTTCCTCTTTTCTATGGTTTTAATTTGGATAAGGAAAATTAGAGATGTGAATTTTTCTTTTTCTATGGCTTTGGCAGAATATCAAAATTAACTTTTCAAAGTTTTTTAAAATAATCATTTTAATTTCTATATATTTTAAAGTATTTTAATTTTTATGTTTAATCTTTTATTTTAAAATAAAAAATCTTTACTTTTTGATAAAATTATTATTTTATTATTTTTTAAAATATTTTAACTCTCAATATTTTATTAGAATAAAAAGATTTATATTTTCGAACGTTAATTGTTAGTTTCTATTTAAATAAAAACTTTTTTATCTTAAAATAAAATATTGAAGATTATAATATTTTAAAAAATAAACATTTAATAAAATATTAATTTTTTTTTTGAAATATTGGCTGATCAATTATTATAGAAATTGTGTGTTACTTTTTTAGTGATACAATGAATACATCCATGACTGAACTTAAATGTAATATTTAAGTTTATAGAAAATAAATAGAGTTAAATTAAATATATTTATTTAAATTTAATTTAATTATTTATTATGCTATGGTACCAATAATTTTTTTTTTACTTTTTCTCACTATATATAATTATTTATATACATTTTTATATATATTTTTAATGGTCAAGTAGAGAGATATTATATTCTCAATACAAAAATCAAAGTTTGACCTCATAATTATGAATAAATAATTATAACTATATTCTTTTATTGATCTCAATAATATATATTTTTAGTAAAAAATCCTAAAAACTTAGTTTCCTTTTATTTGTGTACCACTCATCTCTTTTTTTTTTTTTGACTTTGTTAATTGGCGGCGGCACCAACTTTAATGTTGGTTACTGATCGTCTGTATTTTTATTGTATTTTTCATTTCTATATCGTATTTTATTTACTTTGCTTTTTGATTTTATATAAGTCTGCATGTGTTGCACGTTTTCATATGCCTTTATGACATGTTTTCTTATGTTTTTAACATGTTTTTGGTTCTTTGGTCGTTTTTTCATTTATCTTTTTCTAAGGGTTGATTTGACATCGTCACGACTGATCAAGATGACGTTTATTTAATGTCTTGTAATCTTTCCTGCATTGGACCCTCGGATTGAATTTGGATACCCGATTTGCGTTCGTAGATAGCTTCTCACATCGCTCAAGTATGATTTTTTATTTGTCTGTGGCCTTTCAATAACTTGATCACTTTTGATCATCGACATAGGGTTCAGTATATTATAATATTAAAAATATAATAATATTATATTATTATAAATATAATATATTTTAAATATTATAATAATTAATATTTTGATTAAAATAATAAAATATTATATTAATATTAAATACATAAAATAAAATTATTTGAGTATTTATTCTTTAATGTGAAAAAGTTCAGAAAATGACTTACAAAAAATTAAATCGTAAGTCATTTTTTTCTAGAAAATGCAAAGGAAATTTTGTTGATCAGGAAAATGTTTTACATTGACAAGCTAGTTTTCCTCCATCTAAACACTGAAAAATAAGAAAAAATTTTTCTAAAAAATGTTTTATATGAAACAAACAAACCCTTATAATATTATTTATTAAATAAAATAGCATCTCAAAGTTTATATATAGTGATAGTGTAAGTTTTTGAGAAATGAATTTTGATGATAAAATTTATGAGAGTGCAAAAGAATCAATAAATGATAAAAAGAATTTGTAAAGATTTATAATAAAAAATAAATTGAATAAAACACTAACCTAAAAAATTAAATGATAAAAAAATTACAATAAAATATAAAATTAAATTATAAAAAAGAGTTGCAGAAGAATCAAATTAAATTAAGTTTTACTCACTTCTATTTTAAATTTTAAAATTGGATAAATTATTTGTCTCTTTTAATTTCAAAAATGAACAATACAAATATTTTTTATAGATATTATATTCTGAAGACAAAAATCAAAGTATGATCTTATAATTATGAATAAATAATTATAATTATATTCTTTTATTGATCTAGATAATATATACTTTCAATAAAAAACCCTAAAAACCTAGTTTTCTGTCGTTCATCTATTTTCTTTTTCGTTTTTCTCTCAATAATAGATCATTTTGTGGTTCATTTGTCGATACGCTCATATCTGTTTGTATATATTTTTGTTCGAGTTTCTTGGTTAGATTTTGTAATACCCTAAAACCCGGGTCAATAGTTTGAGTTAACCCGAGACACATTTTAGAGCGCAAAAGATTTATTAAAATGGTTTGGACTAGATTAATGAGAATTGGACTGAGTTTGGCCTAAAAGACTTATGAAAGGTGATGAATATTATTAGGCTTCAAAGTGTAGGGATCTTAAGTGCAATTTACCCATTCAGTTGAAGTTGAAAATCTCCCCCCCCCCTTTTTATATAATCTCACGTGATCCAAATACCCATAAAATGCTCATCCACTCTTCTCATTCTCCCTTTTAGTATTTTCTATTTCCTTCTTTTTAAGAGCCAAGTTCAAACATTTCCTTCCTAGATTTGTTAAGCTAAGGTAAGATTATTAATCCTTGTCCTCTAAGCTTTAATTTAAAACCCATTTTGTAAGATTTTATCATAGTTTCCAAAAATGAGTTTTTGGGAAGTTAAATAAAACTTATGGACTTTAGGTTGTTCTTGTAGGATTTAGATTTCATGAAGTGTTTTAGTCTTTATTTTCCTTCTATAGTTAATTTATAAACTCTTTTACTTATCATTGACTAGTGAAAGAAGTGGGTGAAGGTTCAAAGACAAAAAGAAAAGAGAAAACTCCTCTTGAGTGATTGAGGCTTTGCATTTAGTCAAGAAAACAAGGTATCCACATTGACAACTCTCTCATACTTCTTAGTGTGTTACTTGATGAGTTAAATTGTATAAAAAGTTAGAGTAAAGCTTTTGAGCAATGTTAATGATAGATTATGTGTTGTTTGTTATAAGCATGATATAAAACCTTACTTATGCTTCTTGTAAACACATAAGACTTTAAAAAATGTTTTATGATTTCTGTAGGTAGAGTATCAATACTATAAGGATAATATCGATACTTGTTCTTTGTTTTGAGCAAATTCGTGAGTTTCTGGCAAGAGTATCGAAACTTTAGGTCATAGTTTCGAAACTCCCAGAAAGTATTAAAACTGGCAAGAACATAATGTTTAAAAGTATCGGTACTTATATAAAGTATCAAAAATTTTGCAGAAGTATCGATACTCTTGGGCTAGTATCGATACTTTCAGTATGTTTTAAGGAAAAAGGTCAGTTTTTAAGGGAATTTGACCCGAGGTACCCCAACACTTCACTATATCATCAAATAAGACTACAAGTGAAACAATATTAATAGTAAATCGAACGTAGAAACCAAATAATTAGGGTGACATAAAACTGACCTTGTTTGATGCTCGGGAAATGATTTAGACACCCGAGATTTCTTTAGTTCAGGGTGTCGAAGTATAGAATCAATCCGGATATCCTTAGGTAGGGCGCAAGGCCCTTAAAACTGACTAGGTAGGGCGCAAGGTTCAACACTCGCAAGGGGTGGTCTAGTCGGGGGTGTGGTGTTCGATGTAGAGTTTTCGGGGGCTACATCCTCGGTAAACTAGAGGGGTGCGCGAGCTCCGAGATGCAGAAATCCCTATGTCGCACCATGATGTTTACCATAGTGTAAAGAGTGAGTATCACAAGGATATTCATTAATGTTGAAATCTAGATAGTTTTATTGTATACTCTTATTCAGTTGTTAGAGCATGTTATAAATTGACCTCTGTTAATATGATTTAGTTGTTAGTGTGGCACTAGGCTAGTTAGATCAACGTTTGGAATTTGTTTCCTTATGCAGATTATGTGAAGAATTGTAGTGGACCCTGTTGATTAACAGTGATCCATATATGATCTAGAGCAGAGTACGTCTCAAGTCCTTTAGAGGACATGTATATTCAAATTCCCTGTTTTGTACACTCGAGTCATATCTTGTTTTAAAAGATGGTCTGTATATTTTTATCTAATTATTTTGTGGGAGCTCCCAATCATAAATTGTTTGTATAAACATTATTATTTATTTCATTATGACTGTCTACCAGTAAATATGTTTTTTTATGGAAGCATGTTAAAGAAAATTTTGGTTAGCCACTTTGGTTGTCCCGTTTGATACTCTTATTGGTCGACTGTGTGTCGTATTGGTGTAGGGTGTTACAAATTTAATCTTTTCCTTGCATGGTCCTTATACGATCTTAAGTTGCTAGTTTTGTTTCAAAGATTATATGATATTGTTCTAATTATGTGTTTAATTTACAATTGTGATTGTAAATTTTTATTGTAATTTGAGATATTTTATTTTGAATAAATTAGTTGTTTCTATAAAAAATTATATTCTTTTATTGATTTTATATAAATTTAGTTTACTTAATAATAAGTTTAATCCTTAATTAAATTTATTATTTTTATAAATTGATATAATATATAAATTTTGAGAATTAAAATTAGTGTTAAAGATTCATTTACACACAAAAAATTATTATAATTTTATACAGATTTGTAAATGAATAAAAATAAAAGACTAAATCAGTAAGTAGGGGTTTTCGCGGTCGGTTAACCGTACATGTTAGCCTAAACAGTCTGGTTAACTGTTATAATGGTTACTGAAATTTACTAATCATAACCTAACCATTAAAAAACGGTTAACTGATAATGGTTAACCGTTACTAACGGTTCAATTACACATGTTAACTTGTACTTAATACATATACATACTACATTTGCATATTTTTATAGTAGTTTAAATTTCCAACATACACAAAATACGTAATTAATCATACTATAAATTTAAGCAAATATCAATCAACAATAGTCCAAAACACCATCAAAGTTTCAAAAACTAAATCTTTAGTAAACATAAAATAGATCTGATAACTTAAAGTCTCTAACGACTCCAACAAGCAAGATCTTTAGTGGCTTCCTCCGAAATGGAATTTGTCTCCTCAATCTTAAAGTTATTTTTTTTCTTTTTAATATGTTTTATTGTTTTTCTTGTCTACTAAAATATAAAATATATATTTTTAAAGTTAAATAAATAATTAAAAATAAAACATTGATAATAGTAAAGTACTTCGAAGTCTTAAACTTACCTTTTTGTAGCAAGTGTAACTCGATTTGCAATAGTAATAACTAATTTGTAGCACCCTTAATTTAATTTGCAGCTCTCAATTTGTAAGTTCAATTTGTCGGTATAAATAATTAAGAGGGTATATTGTTATATATATATATATATATATATATATATATATATATATATATATATATATATAATAAATATATAAACCAAGAAAGAAAAATAAAAGAACGAGTTTTCTAAATTAATTTGAAATAAAATTACTTTAAAAAAATAAAATCAATCTTCAATTTTTATTATGATTTGTAGAGTCGTCTTTAAAACTTATATTTATAATTTAATAACAGTTAACTTTTGGCTAAATATTTTTATCAAAATCTATAACTATAACCATTAACCTTTTATTTTTAATAGTTTGATAAATCAAAACCATTTAATTTTAACAGTTCGATTAAATAACTTATAAAATATAACGGTTACACCCGTTACAGTTAACTTGCACACCCCGATCAGTGAGGAATTGGAAGCGGAGAAACAAGGCTTTCTATGTAAATCATTGCAGCAAAGTGATCGGGTGCCCGGAATATCTAGAAGCTCCTGTTTCTTCTCCAGGCTGAACCAAGCAGGCTGACGAGGCCGAGCCCCATCCTCCAGCAATAACCGATCACCCGTCTTAGAAAAAGCTATGACTCTCGTATAGAAAATTCCCTGTAGCCACCATTCTTCACGGGACACACTAGCTACTTCACTCCACGACTCCTTAACTCCGTATTCCTTCATCACCCACAAAATCACATCATCTTTTCATCATACTCCCGGAAAACACACAAGTTCCCACCCACGACTCCGACACTCCTGTACCCGAAGTTCCGGTTACCGACGTCGGATTCATCGGGAACTCGATGGAACTCTTCGACCACGAGATCAAGACCGAAGATCAAGCTTCCGTTATGATGTTGGTCGTTTTCGTCGCCCACCCAATGCAGGGAACCGTTTGCGAAAGCACCGTCTTGTGTCACGTGATAAGAGATTTGGTAAGGGCAATCCTTGATTCTCCTCCATGAGTTAGCTTTCAGGCTGTAAATCATGACTGGCTTCCCGGATGTTGACATTTGCACCACCTTATAGTCGTTGCCGGTGGCATCGTACCCGAATCCAACGATAATTTCGTAATCCATATCGAAAACACCCCCGATCGTTAATTTCGGGAGATGATAGCATGTTCTGGTGGATGGATTCCACAAAGCAATGCCTTCCTCGTCGTGGTATACGGCTAGTAAACCGTTGCAAGAACCGAATATTCTCGAAGAAACTCCGAAGTTTGCTATCGAATACGGTCGAGAGAGTTCCTCCAAGTTGCCTAGCGAGTCGAAGTCGACCAAATAGGTCTTATATACATCATCTTCTGTGCGGCTGTCGAGGATTAGCTTGACATTAGCGTTGGTTTTGAAGGAGTTATGGAGATGGAGTTTAGCGAAATAAGGGTCGTGTACGAGGGAACTCGATGACTTGGACACACGTTTGAAGCGTAAAAGCGTCTTCGTCGTAAGGCGACTAAATGTATCGGTGATAATGCCGGTTGGGAAAGTAGCCATTGCTGGACTCCACTAGGAAGAGGATTTGAAATGAAATATATGAATCTAGACGAAGACGATTCTCATGTTATATAAATACTAACATAATTTAGTTTCTAAAGATGACCAATGCTTGTGCCCTTTGTGTGGAGTTGAATTCGAGGATGCTGTCGTTTTTGGTGTACGTTTTGCTCATGGAGGGAAGTGCAATGCTGCAGGCCAAAAACATTGATATCTTTTTTGTCATATGGCTTTGATCTTAATATATTAATAATACATGTTAACGTTGTTGATATTTCGTTGACAACAAAGGAAGCTCATGTTAATGGTATAAATATAATTTTTAGATTTTTTTTTGAAAATTAATAAGTTTTTAGGGTAAATTAAAAATAAAATCATCGTTCAATGACCTATTTGATGTTTTAGCCGTAGTTTAGGGGTAAAACTACTCATTTATCTTTTTCTTAACATTGCCACATCATTGATTGAACGGGAATGATGGTGAAGTGATCGTTTTGTTACATATCGATAATATTAGTGATAATTTTGTTACAAATCGATAATATCATTGATCAATTTCTTACTTTTGAAATTTCAGTGAAAAAAATAAAAATTTACTTAAACAATATTGACTATTTATGTAGTTTACCCAAATATTAACTACTATTTTAAATATGGTAGATAATAAAAAGAAAAATATTATGGATATTTTTCTTTAAGTCGTAGGGTAAACTACGCATTTATACTTAAACTTTCAATTTTTTAAAATTATATCTAATATTTAATCTTTATTACGTTTTAGTATTATGTTAAAAATTTAATATTAAGTTTAAAAAAATTGAAAGTTTAAGTATTAACCTTGTTAAGTTTTTAATAGCATAATGCTAAAATAAAAAAAATTAAACTTTAGTTATGATTTTGAATAATTAAAAATTTATGTAATAAAATAGACTAAGATAATATTTTAGATACTATACTCGTATTTGGGGACCATATACTATCCAGCCATAGCATTGTCTCTGCAAATTTTGGGGACCATATGATCTCCTTGAAGATTTCCAGATTACAATTATTTTGATTGAGGAGGAAAATTTAATTTGAAATCGATTGATTTCGATTTTACCTTATTTAATAGGATTATATTTCTTTTAAAAAATTAAATTTGGGTTATGTCATATTTTTTAAAGGTATAAGGTCGGATTGAGTTAAATTTGATTGGAGTTTGAAAAAATTCTGACTCGACTCGAAAATAATAATATAATTTCTTTAAAAAATTTATTATCTATTAATTAAGTTCTTATTTTATACTGAGTATGATCAAGTCAAATTATATTTTAAAAATTCGAGTCTATTAGAAATCAAATGGAAAACATATAAATTCAAACTTCGGATATAAAAATACAATCCAATATACTAAGTGCACCGACACCGATTATTTAATCGGTTGAACCTTTCAACAACAAATTAAATAAATAATTCCAACTAATGATGATGATAAGGACAACAATGGAAGGGCACATGAAGGTTTGACTTCAACGGTCTGATAGTGGCACATGAAGGTTTGATTTCTCTACAAAACCCTCAACCAAACCTTGTGTTTCTCTTACAGGATCCAACGATGTCTCCTTTTCTGTCCGATTTGATCCCCGACATACTTTGTCGGCTTCCGGTGAAGACGCTCATCCGGTTCAGATGTGTGGCCAAGCCGTGGCGTTCCCTAATCGACGACCCGCATTTCGCCAAACTCCATCTCGAGCATTCCTCGAGAACCGGCGCCAACGTCAAGCTCTTCCTCGATAACTGTATCGAATGCGATGACAAGGCCTATGCGGTGGACTTCGACTCTCTCGACAACTTGGTCCGATTCCCTCGCCCTTTCGTGGCAGAAATCACCAAATACCGTTCGAGAATAATCGGTTCTTGCAACGGTTTGCTCGCCGTCTACCACCGTGACTCCGGCATCGCTCTGTGGAATCCAACGACCGGAAAACGCCGGTACCTTCCGCCGTTGGACGAAGACGTAGCCGACGATCACGATGCATTGCCCGGATACTACTACGATAAGAACACCGTGCTTGGATTCGGGTACGACGAAATAAGCAACGACTACAAGGTGGTGAAAATGCTGAAATCCAAGACACAAACTCCCTTCAAAGTCATGGTCTACAGTCTTAAATCCGATTCCTGGAAGGGAATCGGCGACTGCCCTTACGATTTCCCGACGAACTACAACGACGGCGCGTACGTAAACAACGCCCTCCATTGGGTAGGCGACGAAATAGGCGAGTTCCACGGCGGACAAGTGATCTTCGCTCTCGATCTCTCCACCGAGAAATACTACGATGTTCCCGAAGGCGACAGAAGCATCAAAGTTAAAGAATGTGGCGGCGATTGTCTTGAGAATTTTGGATACATGAATGCTGGGGTGCTTGGGGGATGTTTATGTGTTTCTCGAGATTACTCGACTTGTCCGGTGAAGGATCATATAAATGTATGGGTGATGAAAGAGTATGGAGTGAAAGAGTCGTGGACCGAACTGCTTTATCTGTCTCGAGATGAATGGCTGACCAATATTTTCCATAGTAGAGCCGTGGGGTATTCGAAGAACGGCGATAAAGTGTTGTTCGATGAGGGCGGAGGTCAGCAGCCGGCGTGGTTCGATCTGGAGGATGAAACAGGGGAGACTCTGAGTATTGAAGGTGCACCCCAACTTGTTTCCACTGTGATTTATGTAGAAAGCCTTGTCTCTGTTTGATGTTACCGGCTAACTACGTCATTATGAATTTTCACACCTTTCTTACGTCTCAATAAAAAATAGTTGGTTATTTGAGAGTTAATTTGAAATTTGTGATTGTCATGTAAGCTGAGTTAATGAAATAATTTATCTTACTTTTTATTCGTTTGGAAATAAAGATTAAAATAGGGGAAATCACATGTTTAGTAATTAAATTTTACTCTCTTATTTCATTTATTGTACTTTTAATTTTTTTAATTAAACAATTTTAAGAGAGTAAAACGTCACTCTGCCATTATATAATTAAACAATTTTAAGACAAGAAAACTTATATCAAAATGACGTCTTTTTGAATTCCTAAAAAATTAGATTAAAATGATGTCGTTTTGATTAAAATCCTCAACATCTCCTCCCCTATCTGAATCTGTAAATGCTTTGAAATGTATCATTGCTTGCACCTGAGAGGGAAACCAAAGTCCATGCTCCAACGTGCCCCGAAGATATCGTAGAATTCGTTTTACAGCCAACCAGTGCATGTCAGTCGGATATTGCTGGAACTGAATAGCTTTACAGCCAACCAGTGCATGTCAGTCGGATATTGCTGGAACTGAATAGCTTTATTGACTGCAAACTAGATGTCTGGACGTGCATGGCATATAGTGCTCCTACCACACTCTTGTATTGTCTCGGATCACTTAAGACCTCCCCTTCATGCTGAACTTAGTTGAAACAAACATGGGTGTAACTGTGGCATTTATCTCTAGCATGAGATTCTTCTGTAACATCTCAATAATAAACTTCTTCTAGGAAAGAAATAAGCCACATGCAGATCTGCGTGCTTCAATGCCCAGAAAAAAACTATAACTCTCCTAGGTCTTTTAAGAACTTTGCATGGAGCTTTTAAATTACCAAATCTGCCTTATCCTTCAAACTGTCAGTGATCAGAATATCATACACTACGATATATGTAACATGTCCATCAGTCTTGTGTATGAACAAGGAAGAATCTACTCTTGATGAAAGAAAACCTAGGCTGTAAAGGAATTCATGCAGCTTCAAAAACGAATTCTAGGTGTTTGCCTAAGGCCATACAACGCCTTCTTTGATTTGCAAGCTAGCACCACACCATTTGGTGCACGTTCTTCGAACTCATGTTGTTGCATGTACACATCTTCACCAAGATCCCTTTCAAGAAGGTATTGTTCACATCCACTTGCCTTATTTGTGAATTACATGTAACCGCCAATGACAGCAGTACATTCACTGTAGAAAAATGTACTACAGGAATAAAGGTGTCCATGAAATCATAGCCTGAAATTTGAGAATAGCGTTTGGCTACCAACCTGACTTTCAGCCTTTCTACCGAACCATCAGTATTTTTCTTGACCTTGAACAGCTATTTACAACCAACGACCTTCCTCCAGCAGGTAATTGACAACCAAAAATTTAAGAAACTCATAGTCAGAAGGCTTACCAGAAAGTTTTTTATATGGTGACTGGTTTCCAGAAGCTTGGAGGGCATTCGATTGATGAGAAATATGGCACTGAACACATCGTAGGAGCAAAAGGTTAGTGGCAACGCGACTTGAGCCAATAAGGTGAGAGCAGTCTCGATAATGTGTATGTGTTTTCTCTCCACAACACCGTTCTTTTGGGAGGTATGTGGACATGATCTTCTTAACTTTATACCAAGCTGTTGTGTGGCTGTTTAAAAATCTGAATTCACCACCATCAGTTTGCAGGGCTTGGACAGTAGAGGAAAATTGAGTTTTAACAAGGCAGTAAACATTTCAAAAGCAGTTGCAACTTCACTTTTATTCCTTAGAAGATAAACCCAATTGTTTTTGGAATACATGTCTATAAAATTCACAAAGTAGTGAAAACCGTAGAGGCTATGGGAGCAGGACCCCATACATCAACCTCAACAAGCTCAAACAGACGGCTATACATGGATTGTGAGCTTGGAAATGGTAAAACACAATTCTTGCCCATTGACAGGCTGTACAAACTTAGTTCTATCTATATGTAAAGGTTTATTTATAACGAGCTTCACCACTTCAGCGGTTGGGTGACCCAACCTCTTGTGCCATCTCCAAAAATCTTCAATTTCTTGACACATGTGCTGTAACTGCTGCCCAACTCCTGAGAGCCTTGACAGTCAAAACTGTAGAGCCTCCATCAAGCCTTCCTTTCATCGGCACTTCTCTTGAATGTCCATCCTTAACATAACAAACATCGGCATGAAACTAAAAAAAAATACTGAATTATCACGAGCAAATGTTGAAACTGACAGCAGGTTTTTTGTAATTTTAGGTACACAAAGCATGAGCAAGCAACAGTTTCTAGACTTAGCAGGTTTTTAGTAATTTTAGGTACACAAAAGTACGAGCAAGCAACAGTTTCTAGACATAATGTGCACTAGCATTTGACCGATATAACTAATCATGATACTCGAGCCATCAACAAGGTGAACCTTACCACTTCTTGTATAAGGCTGCTTGCAAGAAAGTGAGAACGCATCATTGGTTCATGATGTGTAGTCCCCAAGTTTGGAAACCATTTGGAGTAGGTCAATGGACCATCAACCACAAGAGCATTAACTTGGATGTTCTCACCTGACTCCATGGCAGAAGAACCCTCGTCACTTGTATTCTGATTCACAAAAAGAGTATAGACATTAGCTCGCGCCTCTGTCAATCTGATTTGTCGAGACACCCTTGAAGGTTGATCAAACCCTATGTCAACTTTTATCAACAAGATGCCTTAACTTCCCACAAAGTTGACACTGTTACCTTGGCCTACCTTATACTAATTACCACTGTTGTTGCCATTTGGCTTGTAACCTCCAAACGATGGTTAGCTTGGTTGGCTTGACGGTCGCTAGTCTCATTGTCTGAGTTCGAGTGAAGTTAACTCCCACATGAAACCGTGAGGAATCTTCAAGAGTCTCCGCATCAATCAAAACTGAAACTACATTGTCCAAAGCAAAGGGTTCTCTACTTGTAGTTATGGTAGCAATTGTTGGTTCATAATCCACATGTATTCGACTTACTTAACCCAAAGGTCGATAGCGACCCCAATTTTCTAAATAATATATATAAAGTTGTAACTATTTTTTAACCCAATCATTTCGCTTCAAAACGTTATGACACATAGTGATATAATTGAATATAAAAGTAAAGTTTAGTACTATAATTGATAAAATTAAAGTATTATGGTATAAACAAGTCAACAGACAAAGTTTAGTGATATCTAAAGTCATTTCCCCGATAATAATAAAATATATCGTTCATTAAAGTTAAATTTTTCTCTTTATCCTTTTTTTTGATATAACAATAAGACAAGAATTAGCTGGAGGTTTGAAGATCTCGCAGCAGCGTGGAAGATAACTCCGAAGGTGGCTCTAAGAAAACAGTAGCAGTAATGGGGGCTCCTCAACTCAAAACAGCCAGCCTATCCGCAACCATATTTGCTCCCTAAATACATGTGATACTTTATGATCCACTCAAGTTCGAGCAGCTCATGGATTTTAGTAACCAAAGCACTCCCCACAAGCGCAGTCGAAGAAAAAGTGCAGATCTTCATAACCTCTAGATTATCGGTTTCCAGTTCAATTTTTCGAATTCCTAGCCTCCAAGCATGCAACAAGAGATCATGAACACCCACAACTCAGCGGTAAGAATCGAACACCTTCCTAGGCTACGCGTGAAACCAAAATCCATCCCTCAGAGTTGCGTAGAACACCCACAACTCAGCGGTAATAATATATCGTTCATTAAAGTTAACATTTCTCTTTATCCATTTTTTTTGATATAACAATAAGACAAGAATTAGCTGGAGGTTTGAAGATCTCGCAGCAGCGTGGAAGATAACTCTGAAGGTGGCTCTAAGAAAGCAATAGCAGCAATGGGGGCTCCTCAACTCAAAGCAGCCAGCCTATCCGCAACCATATTTGCTCCCTAAATACATGTGATACCTTTATGATCCACTCAAGTTCGAGCAGCTCATGGATTTTAGTAACCAAGCACTCCCCACAAGCGCAGCCGAAGAAAAAGTGCAGATTCATAACCTCTAGATTATCGGTTTCCAGTTCAATTTTTTGATTCCTAACCTCCAAGCATGCAACAAGAGATCATGAACACCCCACAACTCAGCGGTAAGAATCGAACACCTTCCTAGGCTACGCGTGAAACAAAAAATCCATTCTCCCTCAGAGTTGCGCAGAACACCTCCTGCAGCCGCCATATTATCACACGTTCTTATAGCCCCATCCGAATTTCCCTTAATCCAACCTGTGGGAGGACGAATCCAAGACAAAATACTTCTAGATATCGATGGACTAGAATAGTGGTGCTAACCTTAGCAATCACAATATCATCAACAAAGCGATCACAACGATAAATGAACTCCTCTCTTCCACGTAATTTGGATCAAAGAGAATACTACATCTTCGTTCCCAAAGGTGCCAACAAACAGAGAAGCGAATATCCCAATTATCATTCATTCGTGCATACACTTCAGTAGCCCTTAAGTTACGTTCAATCCAAATCTTGTAAGGAAGAGCCAAGAACTCATTAAGCTTCTCAGGCTTGATAACCCTTACCCACATATTCATAGCCATACTGCAATGACGCAAAATATGGTCAGCATCCTCCCTAACATCCCTACAAATCTTACAATCCACTAGGCTAGAAAGGTGCCGACGAGATCGTTCAGCATTGGTAAGAATTCGATCATGGAATAATAGCCAAAGAAAAGTACGAATTCTTGTGAAACTTCTAGCTTCCAAATCAAACTCCATAGAGGATGTTCCTTACTATTGTCAAGGCATGTGATTTCAGTATAGGCTGACCTTGTCGTGAAATTTCTATGGGGCTCCCATCTCCACCCGGGTGTATCAGTACCCAAGTAATCTTGGGGTGGTTTTATCCATTTTATTATTACAATGGTAAAGAACACATATGGATGCATGAGTATATGTTACTAATTTGTTGAGTCTCCGACTATTAAAAGTTACAAATGATTTATTGACTATTAGGTGTTGTTTTGTTGAGTTTCCGACTATTAAAAGTTACAAAATGATTCCCTGACTATTAGGTGTTGCTTTATTGAGTTCCTCAACTATTAAAAGTTACAAAATAGTCACTTGAGTATTCATATGTTCAAAATTTATCCTTTTATATTAAAAATTGATAATCATCTGAGTCGGACTTTAATCTGTTGACATATTATAAAATTTGATCATACAATTATTTTTATTGTATAGTCTTTTGAGATTCTAGGATTAGGTTTTGTCATATCCTAGTCAACAATGTTAACATCTAACATAGATTGTCGTCAGTTTTTTAACGGAAAATAACGAGTTTAAAACATATAATAGTTAGATTATCATTTTATAACTTTAATAGTCGAAAAACTCAAAAAATAATTCCTTATGATTATAGGATCATTTGTATACTTTACCCTATATATAATGTGTAGATAATAACCCAAAATCATTAGTTGATTAAAAATATTTATTATAAAAAATTAAAGTAATTATTAATTAAGTTATGAATATTTTTGATATTATGTCTAATATTAGATATTGATATGAGAGCTCATAAAAGTTTACGAATAGACTCAACTAAATTATATATCATTATAATTAATGTATTAAATAATATTTAAAAATAATTGTGCATATTGTTAATACAATTAATATAATATATATATATATTATATCAATATAATTTTATATTATATCTAATATAATCGAGTCTATATAGAACAAACTAAAGAAATATTCAATGAAGACAAATTATTCCAGATAAACTAAATAAATAGATGTGCAAATATCCTTAGCCTTGAAAAGCAAAATCTTTCGTTGAAAAAGATAAGCTCTCGTTTCGTTTTTTTGTAAATCCAAAATTTCAAAACAAATCCCACTGTAACCCCGATGGATCTAGAGGTGGTGGGCCGCCACGCGCTGCTCTTTGACGATGACGCCATGGCGTCGTTGGTCAACTCCGGGGCTCTCGTTGACTGGAACTCTCTCTCCATCGACCGATACGATGTTCGCCACCTTCTTTCCGGACCTCCTCCACCCCGTAAGAGGCGGCGCCACCTTTCCTCTCCATCGAAAACCGCCGGTGATACGCTGGAGTCCGATCTCGACCGCGAGCGTTACCTCGATTTGCCTCCGCCCTCTCCCTCGCTGCCCGATCATCAAGGTGAGAAACGATAAACAGTTATTTTCCTTTTTTTCCAAAAAATATGTTTAATCTAAGGTTAACTTTATGCAATATTTATTGCTTCCGTATGTATTAGCATGAGCTAACTTGTGCTATTTTATGAGATTTTTAGTGCATTAAGAAATTAATATTATCATCGTTTCAATCTTTAGGGTTCGTTTGGATTAAAAAAATTAACCTTTTAATAACAAAAAAAAATGATTTTACTTTAGTAAAGAACTGTTATGTTTGAGATTTGTTGTTTTTAGCAATTTTCTTAATAAGAGTGGTGATCTAGCAGCTCCTTAGCTTCTCTTTGATTGTGTTTTATTTAGATTTTGTTACCGATAGGTGTTAGTGGAAGGAAAAGCGTTCTATTACTTTATTTTTGGATAATATATGAGCTAAGTAGAATCTTTGATTGTTTAATTCCTTGGATCATGTCACTCTTGAGGGTTTTGTGCTTTAACATGTTTGTGGGAAATATTTATGAAGATGAAGATGAACTTAGATCTTATGTTTGATTTTATATTTGTTTTAACAAAATCATGACATCTTGAATAAACCATATGATTCATGTTACTGTTAGAGTAGATAATGTCTTTCTTTGTTTATATATAGAAAGCTGAATTGGCTATTAGGGTTTTGAGCTTCGAAAGATGTTTAATGAAAGTTAACCTGTGGCATGAATTACCAGGTTTTGGTGCTTGCCTTGCCTTTGCATTCTGGGTTGTGGAAACAATAAAAAAAATTTAACATTATATATGCTATACTTGTACTGCTTTTCCAAGGTTGCAGGAAGGAATCTAGTTTGCAACAGTTACGTGTTTAGGGGAGACAAGTAAGGACATTCTTACCTTAATCTACTGTATCATGGCCAGTTTCTTTATTATGCTTGCCGTTGGTGCTGTTTGCTGTGTTTCTAACATGATAATTGCATAATAGCTTTATTTAAATATGATTCTGATTCTGGTTTATTTTTCTTCCAGATGGAGATAATGACGATGGACCTGCCGCTTCTGGTGGTCAATATAATGCTGTTTCATTTTCATATGGAAACGCTGGGGAATCCAATGAGTGGAAGGATGCTGATGTGGAGTCTAGTTTTCGGCCACCCTTTCCTGTGCCCAAAACCTTACTTCAAAACCTAGTAAGTACATGTTCATCTTCTTCAAACATATCTTTTACTTTTTGTAAAATCTAGATATAATTGTTTGTCGGTATGTATCCAATGTGGCTGTTTGATAGTTGAGTAAGGTGCGTGAGTTATTCTAAGGCTTACGATGTCTAAGTTTCAGATGCTCGGAGCGCAGATGCAGTTCTTTTTTCCTTTTGATGTCATGACAAGGGTGCCTGCAGGTGGGATTAGAATGATAGAAATATGTCACCTTACAGGAACCCTATTCACTTGAGCAAATGGGATGATACATATTCCTAGGAGTTCTCTATTTCTTGATCTTTGTGCTTATCTGAATATATGTGAGATTCTGTAGTTTTTTTTTCAGTTTTAATTCTTTGGGATTAATTGTAAGTTTTCAATCACTCTTGGATTTCACAATTGTTAAGTTTCTCACTATTGACTTGAAAACTTCTGTTTTTTTGTTTTTTTTTTGTCTTCTCTTTAGCCCCCTACGGAGAAAGTGCATCTGATTATATCAAGAACAGCGTTATTTGTAAGCAAACATGGTGCACAGTCAGAGATTGTTTTGAGGGTCAAACAGGGTGACAACCCAACATTTGGCTTCTTGATGCCGGACCATCCGCTTCACCCATACTTTAGGTTTCTTGTTGACCACCAAGAACTTTTGAGCAGCAATTCTGTCGATGAGGAGGGCAAAGCCGATGGTGCACATGATCGGGCAAGTAGTGTTAGAGGCGGTGCTTTATCTTTGCTTGGTACTGTATATGGTTCTGGAGAAGATGAGGATGGTGAAACGGAAAATGATACTGAAGTTAAGAGAACGGAATCTGTGAGAGCTGGGGTCGCTATTGATAAAGCATCAACTGATGGAACAGAGCAGAAAGAATCTTCTATAAGTGTTAATAGAAAATATGATGCAGTGACTAGGCATTCAGCTCCTTTAAAGGAAAAGGCTTCTGTGATCAAAAGAAATCAATCGATAAAAACAGTTAAGGCTGGAACGACTACTGTGATGAAGAAAGAAAGTGATCCCTCTGCAGCTGAGAAATCACGGGCTTCTTCTTTTCCACCAACATCGAAGGTTGAATTACCTGTTGTGGAGCCCCCATCAGATTTAAAGAGAGTGGTTGATAAGATTGTCGAATTCATACTGAGGAACGGTAGACAGTTCGAAGCAGTTCTTGTTGAACAAGATGTTAAGCATGGGAGGTTTCCTTTTCTGTTGCCATCCAATCTATATCACCCTTATTATTTAGAAGCTCTTCAAAACGCCAAAAAGGTATGAGACTCACTTTTCAATGGTATTAAATAGGTTGAATCTGATGTGGAACATCGTATTTTCCATATAATATTTTTATGCATTTTAGTATCCATGTGAACCTTTGCTGTTTCTTATAATTGGTCTGGTATTGCATATTGATTCAGATCTGATTGTGATTGTCCTCTGATTATCATGATAGCATCATATTCTTTGCCTCTTTGGTTCTATCTTCAATTCTAAGTTATAATATTTCACTTCTTCACTGTTTCTGCAGTCAAAGTTACCTGGTAAAGCTTTTGGTTCCGAGAAGCATGATTCGTCTGGCTGTGGTCTAGAGAGGGAAGCTGCTTCATCCCGAGAAAGTGATAGTGCTTCTGTTGGATCCGACATACCGTATAATTCAGATAGGAAAGAGAAGTTTAAAATGGTAATCAACAAATCAAGGAAGGATGGTCAGGATCCCCCTTCCAAAGCTTCCCATCCACAAATTGGAGTTAGTGTGGACGCAGCTGCCGCAGCTGCTATTCTTCAGGCTGCCACAAGAGGCTTTAAGAGACCAAATCTAGAGGTTCTCTCGAAAGTTTCGTTAAACGGTAGCAGCCAGGTTCCAACCAGTGAAGAAGGGCAGGCCCCAAATTTTGGTAGTTCCTGTTCGTCTCAGCCCAAAAGTTCTGAGAAGGCAGGGCAGAAAGGTGAGGTGAGTGTTTCCGGTCCTGTTGCCAATGCAATTGCAAAGACAGCAGCTATTGTAGCTGCAAGTGAGGCTGATTCCTCTGAGGCATGTTTAACAAAAGAAGAGAAGTTGAAAGCCGAGCGACTAAAACGGGCAAAGATGTTTGCTGCCTTGATCAAAAGTGGTTCTGCACCGCTTAAAACTGAAGCATTGCGTGGCTTATCTGCGGAACCACCTGACTTGGGGGTTTGTGGTTCTGGTGTCGAGAGTGGACTTGGAAAGGTAATGGAAGGCAGCCCAGTTGCATCGGATGTCAATACTTGCGATAAAAATGAAAAGCATGAAAAGATGAATTCCGGTATTGATAATAATGAACGGCGGTCGAAGAGGAAGTACCGTACTAGATCAGAAAGACATGAAGCAGATAGTGGACAGGAGGAGGGGGTGAAACAAGAAGAAGAAAAAGAAGAGGAAGTAAGGGACAGGCACTCGGGTAAAAAGCGGAGATCTCATCACCATAGTAGGGATAGGCGGAAGCATAGGCAAAGGCATTCCTCTTCAAAGCATAGAGATTCTCGACATCTGCATAAGCATGATAGTAGCACCGATGATGAGCGAAGTCATAAGTCTGACAACTCCGATAGCGACCATCATCATTCTCGACACAAACGGAAGAGAGATACCCCTTTAGACATTGAACACCGTAGACATAGTGGTTCGATTGAGGGTGAGAATCGGCACAAGCATGATAACTCCTCTGGGGATGAGTATCGACGTTCTAGACACCGTCATAAGCACCGTAGGTCCTCCGACGATGAGTACTATCATCGAAGGAAGAGATCAGGAAGAGAAGCGGAATTGGAGGAAGGAGAGATTATTGCAAAATCAGATAAATCTAAATTGAGTGAGGGCAATGCTGCTAGCAGGGAAGCTTCTGCAGACATATCAAACCCGGCCGCGGCCGAGGGAAGGGCTTCGTCCATGCCATCTGCTACCACGACGATTTCCAATGATTTAAGAGCCAAAATCCGAGCTATGCTGATGGCGACCTTATAGCAAGCCCTGACCTTTTTTTTCCTTCAGTTTTCATCTGGTTTTCGTTGAACCAAAAAAAATCTAATAGATGCTTTCTCATGTATCAGCTTTGGTTGTAATCTTATTACCATAAGATAGTGGTGGCTTCAGATTCATATGTATGACCAAATTAGTCAATTTCTGATTTTTGTTTCTTAGTTATAAAATTTGTTGTATTATTAAAGTTATAATCTCAAATGATTTTATTTTTGTTGGTAACATTATTAATGTTCGCCGGCGCCGCATCAGATTTTCTTTATCGGTCATCTTACTCTTTTCTTGTTCGTTTTTAATAATATCTATACATTATATTTATATACTAAGGAAAATATTACCGCGCTCGATAAGAACCACTAGCGATGAATATCATTAATTTAATTATAAAATTTAAAATTCTAAAGGACTTGATGTGTATAATTATGTGTTATTAAAAATTTAAAGGTAAATTATTTAAAATTAAAGGGTAAATTATACTAGTGACCACCTAACTATTTCTCCTTTTCATTTTGATCACCATTTTGAAAATTTGTCAATCAAGTCACTCAACTATTTAAATACATTCAATTATGCCACTTCTTGTTAATATTTAACGGAGAAGCTGATATGACATTTAAAATATTTGATATAATTCCACATTTGTACATTGTTACTTATATCCTATCAATTTGGTCTTAATTTTAATAAATTAAAATGAACTCATCCTAAATTCAATTGGCTATAGAATTGCTTGTTTGCAATTGTCATAAAATAAATTTTACTCTAACATTTAATTAATTGTCATAAAATCAATTCTCTGGTAAATTTGTTTGCAATTGCTCGTAAAATGTCGTTAATTTCCCTATGGTACTTAACTCATTCACAAACATCTATATCAAATTCGTCATCTTATCGACGTGGGCCATATAAATGAAATACAATAACAATTTAAGTTAGGAATTTGGATATGAGAATTTAAAATTTAAGAATTCTAATTTTAAGGTTTAGATATTTAGAAGATTTCGACTTGAAAGCAGAGGTTTGAATTCTTTTACAAAGATTTTAAAAATTTGAGATTTTTAAAAAGTTATATTTCTAATTTGAATATTAACGGCAAGTGGCTAAATTGAATGCATTTAAATAGTTGAGTGACTTGATTGATAAAATTTCAAAAATGATGGTCAAAATGAAAGGAGCAATAGTTATGTGATCCGCGGTATAGTTTACCCTTTTAATTTTAAATAATTTACATTTAAAAGGAGACCCAAGTTGCATGGGCTGCTGCATTAAACAAGGATTTTCTTATATATTTTTAAATAAGGATTTTGAATACTATTAGTTTATGTTATAATCATTAATTATTCACTGTGGTGCATGCATGAGATTCATGCACGACGATACATCAAATATCCTTATATATTTTAATCAGGTTTATGATTTATTTTAATTTATTTCATATTATTTTTTTCACCTATCATTATTTTATTATTATTTATTAACAAGCGACATGATTGCCCGTCCAGCTCAGTTGATAGAGCATAAGGCTCTTACCCTTGTGGTCGTGGGAACGAGTCTCACGGTGAGCAATTCATAATTGCCGGAGGTCTTCCACAAAAGTTTTCTCAACCTAGCGTTGGGCAACCTACTTCCTACCTCCCTTACCCTATTACATATAGAAATAAGGTTAGCTAATTTTTATTTATTAACAAGCGCTAATGTCAATTTTTTCTGTATTTTCTTATATAATTTATTTTTTTATAATTCTTCTTTTATGACACGTTTTTTTGTTTTTGTCAAACATGTTTATTTACCATTCGGTACGATTTCGATCTTCTTTATTCGGTCATTTTAATCCTAATCTCTCTTCTTGATCTCTCCGACCATCATCTTTCTTCTTGATCATAGACCGTGATCATAGACAAAATCCATTCGATCACTATCTTCGATAATTCTTCGTCCAAATTAAAAGAGATATATATTATTATTATTATGGAACATGCTCGAGAAATACAAATAAAAATAAATTATTTATCCTCTTAAAAAGTCAATCTTTTAAATTATTTCCTCTGATGGCAAGCCATCGTCTCACTTCACAATAATTTACAATTATCTTCAAAACTAAGCCATCTAATTTTATCCCAACTCATAAAAGAGTGAGACAAAAAAAAAAAGGGGGGGGATTAATTACAATATTATATGACCATTGATCAACAATCAAGCCATTGTTAAATTATTTTCAAGTATGGATGGGATATCCTTAGCTTTAGGAGATATCTTTGAAAATAAAGATGATTGCTATCAAAGAAGCTACCAAATGGACGAGAGGGATTCTCATCCGAATTATTGGCTCTTCCGCAGTAGCTATTTTCGGTGGTTTATCCTTGCTACTGAATATAAGTGCCAGCTGTAGAAACCGACGTTTTAGCTCACTGCCGGTAGGACTTCCGTTTTCCGGCATCTCTGTCTCTTCTGCCTGCTCTATTGTCTTTATTACTTCTTCGGGAGTGGCTATCATTGTTTCCACTGTTTCGTACCTGTTAAAGGAATTCGGTTTCTAATATCATTTGCTTTGATTCATTAGTACTTCATGAAACCATCTATCTCGTCGACAGTTTCTATCGACGGGAAACGTCGATAGATACGTCGAGGCATGCGTGTAAAATGGAAACCTACCTGGCAAAGCTCATCCAGTTTATCGTTCCAGACGTTTCTCTGGCAAGTTGCAACAACATAGTCTTTGAGCTCGTAAAACAGCTTTGATAAGTTCTCATCAGCAGAGAGCTTGTCTTCGGCTAATACAAATCCCAAACCAAGCTGAACACATTACGTATTTGTACTATGTTAGTAGAATTCGAGTGTGAATGCCGAATGCAAGTACGTGTATGATGCAAATATGTTCATTTTTCTTCCAAGTTTTTCTATGTATTTGTACTTTGTAGGCCCTTGGACAGTCATATTCCTATGCATCAGACACTTGTTTCAGAATAATAAAGCTGGCGTAACATAGTTCAAGTCTTAACTATGTCACCACCATTCTTCTTTTCCCCCTAAAGTACATGTGTTCAACACTTGAGTTCAATGTATATCTTGACATGGGCATGGGATCTGATCATCTAAAGACTCAACGTCAAATGATTCTTTTAAAAACGAACATACTCGTGTCAAGAACACCTATATCCGACACTCACACTCAAAATCGAGGAACATAACTGTCCAATCATGTGACAGAAACAAAGTAGAAATACAGAGAACTCCTCTTCCTTCGGTTTGGATGCATAAACTGAACAGCAGATTGGGAATAATAGAGAGAGAAAATAAAGAAAAGACCATCTTTAACTGGGTTAAAACACTTACAAGAGAAAGAAACAGTTGTTGAAAAAGATCAGTAACCGGAATGTTCTCGAAGAAATTCAGGATTCCCTCCCTGATGCAACCATAAAACATGTCTTTCTTGTAAGAACAATGATCCCGTCGTAGAAAATTTAAGAGTTGTAACATAAAAATTATGAGTACAACTTACACTGCCAAATCCTCATCATAGAGAGGTGTTTGTTTAATGGCAGGTACAGGTTTGGATGTCTCCCATAGTTCACGCCACAAATTACCTAACAAATATACATAATTCACATACCATAGCCAGCTATGAAAAAGTCCAGGAAGTGACGCTATTAGCAGGTTAAGAATGCAAACAACTAGAAGAGTATGTTGTACATGAGACATGCTACCAATAGAAATCACAGGATATAATACGAGATCATACAAACATACTCCATTGTGCAATCAATGAATGGATGTTCACTCCCTAATAGTAAGACCTAACCAAGAAGAAATTAAAATGAAACTGGGATAACAAGAAAAACCTTCTTTTTGCATTCTACTACTTAGTTGACCACTTCCACTCGTAACCTCATTGCTTGGCTCGGGTTCAATCCAATCAGGAGGAGAGTGCCATCTAACAAAATCTTCTAAAACACAGCCAGGATTTGCAGCCTAACAAAATTGTCATAGGAAAAAGATTAAGCATTGAAGGTTGAAAGAAGTTTGGCCTGCATCCATATGTACCTACAATAGCAGTAGGAATAATATTCTTTGCGCTAAAATATCACCTTGAAAGCCTGCATGTCAGAGAGGAGCCGAGAGCACCCAGCGCCATCGCTAACCCACAAAAGATAAGGCAATGAGTAAAAGAATAACAAGAATAATGTAACTACAAGGAGTATCATGATTACCAGACACAAAAACTGTGATTCATTCAACGGGTAGAGGGAAAAGATGGAGAATAATTATAAAAAATCAACAAAAATAACAGCATCATATAGGTTGATCCTGTAAGTAAACATCATTGTTTTAAAGCAAAAAGAATTAAGATTTAAGAATAAATCTTATGAAATAAACAGATTAAGATGATGATCATCAAAAGAAAATAGTATCAGTAAGAGTTCTGTAATGTTAAATAATGTGCCAAGAGGTTAAGGAGTTTTTAGTCAGTATACTGACCTCCCTGTCCGAAGAACTAACTCCTCTGTTTCTCTGATAAGCTCTTCTGTAAGCAAAGGTCCTTCCTACAGACATACAAAATCACACTAAAGCAGGGGAATATGCTTGAAAGGTAGGTAATCTACTGGCAGAATTTGCAACCAAACCTGGGTAATAGGTGAGTATATCGGTTCACCAGTTTCTAACATTGTTAAATTTTCGATCAGTTTATTAGCTCCCTGCCGAAGAACAAGTTCCCTAGTCTTAACTCGTGCACACAATGAAGATCTGACAGACATTGTGCCCATAGAAACATCTGTTTCTTTAACGCTTGAACTGGCTTCCATCATTTCAGAAGCAAATGATTTAGCTGCAATATTGTGCTGTCTTCTTCTTGATAGACAACAGTTTATAACCTGTAATTGTTGATATAAAAGACATGAATTTAGATCTGGAATCTCATTCACAGGAATGCCAGGCAGATGTCTCTCTTTGGACCAAAATCTTCTCAGCTGCATGTGTAAAGGATTCCAAAAACATTTCATCAGATGAAGATCAACAACTATGCAAAGTAAAGAAAACAAACTCTCAATGCATTAACGTGTGAAAAATCGAGGATTTTGATTTACTCAAAAGATTATTTGTGGCATGAAAAAAATTGCAAATACAACAATACACACTCTAGGTTGACCATGTTGTTATGCTAGAAGCGGTTATTATTATTTTATGAAAAGATGATACCTTGAACTTCATTAGCCTTCTGATAACAGTTTTATTAGGACAAAAAGACCCCAACTGTAAACTCAGTGAGGTTTTCTTTCAGCATTGATCATTTGTGTTAATTCAGATAAAGTAAGGAATACCCCACTTACTTCTGTAACAACCATGCACCAAAAGAGTGCCATCTTGCTAAGGCTTCTAAAACTTCCAATTACTTCAGAAAGCTTAACAACGAAGCTCTGTGGAGGAGCACCATGAATGTCTTTAACAAAAGATATATTTGGCGTAGACTGATCTGAATCCGATACAAGCTTCCTTTGGAGGAATTTTCCATCTGCAGATATTAAGATGAAAGTGAAAGACCATCACAAGAAAATATTGAAGTTTGAAGAAGAAACATATCACCCAGAAAGATCACACGTCTCATTAGCAACATATATGAATCTACCTGCATCAAACAGTGCACGAATCAAATCAAGGACTCTCTCGTCATCACAAAAGCCATAATCAAGTTTATCCTCTTTCTCGCCGATAATGAACGACTTGACTGCAGAGAAGCTCAAGCCTGCCTTTTCCTTACTGGGAGAAGAACTTTCAAAAGATGCCAAAAGATCTTTCAACCTTTTAAAATTGGTTCCAGCCCTGGGATCAGAAGGAGATTACAGACATATAAGAACACCATGTACAAGCTGAAACATTGTTAATCAAACGATCACACATTTGACCAGTTAGCATTAGCTCAGAAGCAAACACACATTTTCTCTAAAAGATCAAATCGTGGCCGTCACTTTAACAAAACAGTGTCAATACCAGAAAGTAAATCCCAATAAAGTTAATCAATTAAAAAAACAGCACGTTTCATGAGGCAACCTGCAATTTATATATTGACAAGAGCGGATAAAGAATATAAAATCTGAATTCAAGTATTGCGAGCATATTTATAGCAAAAACTTACTCAATAGCTACAGCCAATTGTTTGATGACAGATGATGGGGGAATGTTTTCCGTGTTGGTATTTAGAACGTCTACGGAAGGAATTGCTTCTAACAACTGAAGGAAAACAATCTCATGAACAAATTCATTCGGTTAAATTTTACAATAACAGAAAAATTAAAATTTTAATCCGTGACAGTAACCCGGAACTGTGGGAGAGAAAAATAAGCAGAATCACAAATGTACCTTTGCTTCCGTGTCATTCTTCATGTTGAGCAAATATATGTTTTCATCGTAGAATAGAACAGCCATTATTGAAATTTCAACCTTCTTGGAATCTTCAACGCCTTTTCTCCCTATTCCTATATTTCTAAACCTTTCTTGCCATTCCTGTTTTGTCCCTAAATTTGTGGGCTTCCACCTAGAATGATTTACTTCATGAAAATTCTGCGTTATACCACACAAAAGTTAAAACTAAAATAAGTAAATACGGATTGAGAAAAAAAAAAAGTCATATCAAATGAATTTCGAGGGGAAAGAAGGCAAACAAAACTTTTAAAATCAATTGCAGAAGAGTTCATAAACATTCAGCAGAACTTTGATCCAGATATATGTATATACGGTTCCATTTGAAATGAAGTAAGCTAAACTCTTCGAAGTCAATACTTATATAACTTAAATTCACAATGAGACTTGTAAAAACTGTTCTACAATTTACTTCATGATCCTCCGTTTCTTCTCAAGAGAAAACCAAAGTTAAATTTCAAAATTACCTTACTCTCGCCTTCGTTCCTAAGAGAATCGTTCTTGAATTCCTTGGACGATAATGTATCAGAATCTTCACGAAAAGGATAAGAAAAAACAAAGAAAATCAAATCAAATCCCCGTTATAAACATTTACATCAATCACCTTAAAACCGGACATTTTAAAAAATATAAAATTAGAAAAGCGAAAAATAAACTAGAGACGAATATGATTAACCGCCAAAAATATAGAGTGGACAAATTTTCTTTTACCTAAATCGGATTTTAATTCATTGAAAACTCGCTCGGTTTTGGCAGCTGCGGAGTTGAAAGCGGTTCTTGTTTTGGATAAAAATGAAGGAGCCTCCATGTCGTGCGCACGTTAAGATTTGGAGCGTTGAGGGAAGAAAGGAGATGAAAGTAGTTAAAATTGGAGGGACCAAAAGGACGCCATTTGCAGGCAAAGCGGGAGATCTGTTTGGATGGAGAAGAAAGGTTGTGGAAAATGGAAGGATTTTGAAAAATAAGAATAAAATATTAAATAATAGGGTATAGTACATAAATGGTCCCGATTATCATATACTATTTTATTAAGTTTATTTAATATTAAAAGTTATAAAATAATCATTTGATTATATAATATTATTTTATTAAGTCATTCGATTATTCAAAATTATAAAATGATCACCTGACTATTTATTATGTTCTAAACTCGTATTTTTCCTTAACGTTAACTTGATGACCTAATAAGTTAACGTTCAGCTAATAATGCTATCGATTTTCTATTAGAAACGGAGTTTGAAACATAATGAATATATCATTTTGTAACTTCTATAATTGGGGGATTATTTATGTACTTTACTACTCAATCATCATATTGCAGTTGCTAGTGCTCGAACCCGTAATCTTTAAAAACAAAAACGATTCATTAATCACTGAGGTAAATTGGTTCGTACTTTATTTTTTTTTTCTTTGAGGTATGTTGATGATTTTTATGTAACTTGTCGTTAACTGATGATTAGATTGTATTTTAAAACTGGATTAAATTTTGGTCTAACTTATGGTTATGGATAAGATTTGGAGTATGGAATATGCTCATAAACTGATAACAAAGAATTAATACATAAAATTATCTTTGTTAATTTTTAGATATTTCGAATTTGAACACCAATTATTTTAAGTATTTATTATTGAATAATTGATAATATTTAAAACATGCACTATCACTTGTAATGATCGTAGAATATAAAAATATTAATTTTATTTAAACATCTCTAAATTTAAAAAATTGAAACAAAACACCTCATATTAAATGTAAAATGATCAAATCAAATAAAAAAGTACTCTAAATTTGATATGCTTAACAAATCATCAATCAAAATATATCAGCGGAGTCAAATCTGACCTTACTAAAATTTTCAATTCTTTTATATCCAATACATATTCTTCAAATTTATTTCTTTTAATATATATATTTCTCCAGACCTGAGTTCGAACATCATAGATTTCAGGGGTGTAAGTGTTCATTGTCGAAATATTGAGAATTATCTATGAAAAGATACTACATTGTATTTACCCAAGATTAATAAAAAAAAAATCTTTTAATAATTTTAAGGCGTAATGCATGATATGATCTCTAAGTTATATTTTTGTAGGTCGCCCTTATATGAAATAAATATTTTGTAGGTTGCAAGTAAATATAAGATTTCTTTTATAATAAAGTTTCAATCAGTAGTAATTTTGTATTTTGTTATATTCACTTCAAGAAGTTGTGGATCGTCGGTTTTTCTCGAAGTCTAGGAAGGTGCTCCACCTTCATCACTAAATTAATATGAGGTAAGTACAAGATAATATGTTCATAGATAATTTCAATATTTCGACAATGAACGCTCACATCCTTGGTATCTATGATGTTTGAACCCATGTCTCAAAGAATACCACGGAGATTACGGAAGAACTTGTCAACAAAAGGTAAATTAAAAAATAGGGGTGTTTTGTCCTTAGATTATATGTTGAGGGTTAAAATACTTTAAGAAAAAGAATAAGGACTAAAATGATTATGAAATTAAATGTTAAAGTTTTTTTATTTTAAAATAAAATATTAAATTTAAAATGCATTAAAACTATTAAGAGTAATTTTTTGATATTATGTCAAATTTAAATGAAATGAGACTTTGTTAGTAGTAAAAGCAATTTGAATAGAATTTGTCAAAAGATTTTGCTTAGTTTTTATTCAAAATGTTATTATTCTTCGTTCAAATGGTTTTCAAGAATTCAACTCCAAGTCTCCTACGAGTTAGGACCGTTGATCTTGACTTGTCCACCAACATGAATGGGCTTTCACAAGTGTGGATCCTCACTTGTCTTATTGTCATCACGTCCTGATCTAGGGCCCTTAAAATGTCAGGACCGGACCTGATTATGAGCGAGCCATAAACTCTTGACTTAGATTTATTTTGTGTCACTTCTCTTGTTTAATTGTTAGTTGTTTGTTCATGTTTTCTAATGAATTGAATGCTTTCAATGTTTTTTTAATTGACTATAGTTTTTGAAAAATGTGCTAAAAAAGAGGTCAAAAAACTGTACTTTTTGTTCTGGAATTAAGACTGGAACAGTGGACATAAAATCGGGCATGAAATGTTGATGTGGCAAGGACTTAATTATAATAGTTTTAAAATGTTCAATGGTCTAAAATGTAGTTAACCCATCAATTTTAGGGGGTAGTTGCCCCTCCCATCTATAAGGTGACTCCGTCCCTGTGACTATTCATTATGCTCCAATCCTTTCTCATTAAAAAATGACAGTATTCTGAGCTGAACGTTAACATGTTGACTGTGATATGATAAAATATGATCCCAAAATCTCAAACGACTTTCATATCATAGTCATCATGTTAACAACTAGCTTAGACAACCATAAATTTTTTTAATAAAAAAAGACAAGTTTGAAATTTAATGATTAGTCGGGTGATCATTTTGTAATTTTTAATAGTTGAGAGACTTAATAAAGTAATATTCTATAATCGAAAGACTTAATAAAACAATATTCTATAGTTAGAGGACTATTTTATAACTTTTAATAATCAAATAACTTAATAAAACAATATCCTATTGTCGGGAACCATTTGTATACATTATCATTAATTTTTTTTTATATTTTCTTACTAAAATAGAATCAACGTTGACTTGATAATTTTTTAAATTTTCAATAATATTCTGTTAATTTCAATGAATTTAATTTATTTCTTAAAAGTATTTTTTATCTATTATTAAATTTGGTTTTTTAAGTGAACCTATTAATTCAATAATTTTATTATGAATCGGAATAAATATATAATACTTTTAAAATTCTATTAATAATTATTCAACTCCTAATAAACATGGGTTTGATTCTTGATGGTCACGATTTTTAATGATAAATTAATAATATATGTGTATAATGATTAAAAAGCTAGAAAATCCCGGCAATAACATAACCTAATACCGGTAGGTAAATAATACTACTATAGTTACACTAAAAAAACGGAAAACAAAACTCGGAGAATTTGATATAAATAAGCAATCAAAGAACCAATCTTTTTCAACTCCTTTCCTCAATTTTTCTCTCTTAGTAAGTTCATTTAATATTTTGCGTTCAATATCTAGACTTTTCGAAGAGCAAATATGACGGAGGTGACGGTGTTGCATGCGGTGGCGGACATGGATGAGGTGACGGTGTTTCATGTGGCGGCGGAAGGGGAGGAGGTGGTGTTATCATCATCGTCCGAGGTTGTTGATAGCATAGCTGATATAGATATGGAGAATAAACAGGAAAATCTTTGCAACGGCGTCGACGGGAAGACGGTTAAGGAAAGCATCGAAAGTGATGGGTCAGACGTCGGTGTTAACCGGAACGGCGCCGTGGATGGAGTTCCAGAGGAGTCGAATGGCGAGAGAAACCCTAATGGCACAGGTGAAGAGGATGACTACAGCAAAATAGATATATAGTGTCGTTTTTAGCGGCACTTTGAGAGTAAATGCACTTTTATATCGCGACGTTTAAAATTCAAATGCCACAAATGGTACAATTAGCAGCGTTTCTAAAATAACGCCGCGATAGAATCATCTTTTGTGGCGTTTTTATATTTCAAAATACACCATTTTTCGGTATTATAGTGGCGATTCTTAATAAACGCCGCAAAATATCTTTTATGTTGATATATTTATGATTTTTTTAGCGGCGTTTTGAGAGTAAATCCGAATCCTATTTGGTGGTTGCAGATGAGTATTGCATTGGAACCGGGGATCAGGAGGAGGATCCAATTGAATTGTGCCAGGCGGAGAGCCCCGTTGATGAACAAAATTCAAGGGATGTTATTGAGGGTGAACCCGAAGATGGAGTTTTGGAAACTTCCATGGCCGGTGACAATGGAGTCTCTGTCTCTGAAGATGCTGTTATTGATTCCAGTGTCGAGTCTTCTGATATAGTAGAAACCAGCACGTCGGTTGAGGGTGGTATGTCTTGTGACATGGTAGAAACCGACCACTCCGCTCTTCCAATTATCGAAGGTGGTAAGTTTTCTGACATAGCTGAAACAGATGCTGGGGCTTTTTTTCTTGTTTTTGGAAGCTTCCCCGTGAGTGTTGCAATTATAAGTGCAGAGATTTCATTGAATTCCGATGATCATCTCAAAATACAGACCGAAACTTCTAAGTGGGACGAAGCAATTTCGAGTTCGATATCTGAAAGGGATAATACTTCTGCTTCTATAGTCTCTGATAACTTATCTGCTTCGATGAGTAATCCTGATAGTGACCAAATCTGTGGCCTCACAGATGGAGGGATTCAGTCGATGCCATTCCACTACCTCATCAAGGTCCCCAGGTACAATGATGAAAGTTTAAAAGAAAAGATTAGACTTGCTCAGATTCATGTCGATGACAAGACTCGAACTCGAGATGCAATTCGAATCGAAATGCAAAGCTTGAGGGTAAGTAACCAAGAACTTTTCTTTTTATATTTCTAAAAAAAAATACTTTTGCTTCTTGTTCTAATGATTGATAAAATGCTTCACTAGGCTACATGTAAGGAATATGGCAATGATTTTAATGCTGCCGTGTCTCAAGAGCGAAAGGCTCGAGACTTGCTTAGCTCCAAACGTCTGGAAATAGAGTCTATCCAGTCCGTGATGGATATTGATGTCAAGGTAACCTCTTTTTACTTCCAAACGTGTCTTTGTAATTGTTATATGATATGATCATATGTTCTAATTATATGACCTTTTTAAATAGATACGAAACATGGAACACACTATGCAACATGAAACTCTACCTCTTAAGGATGAGAAGAATCTCATTCGAGAGATCAAGCGATTAAAACAAACTCGTGAAAAGCACTCATCTATACAGGATGAAATTCAGCTAGGTTTGGACAGGAAAGACCGCCTGAAGGTATTGATGCTCTTCTTATTCCTGTTTTTTTTTAATCTTTTTTGTACATTCATTACCCTTTGATCAGCATGTTGTATGATTTGTGTGCATGTGCAGTCTTTAAAGAAGGAAGCGGAGCAATTGAAAGCCGATGTGCTAAATGCTGAGGCGGTCACAAAGGCTGCCAAGAGAAAATACCATGACGAATCCGAAAAGTTAAACGAATTGCAGTCTCGGTTTAAAGCTGCAGATGACATTCAGCAAGAAGCTTATGCACAGTTGCGGACTTTGAAGAAACATTCATACGAGAAGGTACTTTTGAACCCCCTGCACCTAGAAGGTGTTATCGTTTCTTTCTCTTAGTCTTACATGCATGTTCAAATTTTGCAGGGCAAACACTTTTGGCAGTACAGGGATGACTTAAACAAGGCGAATGATTTGGCCTCGAAAGGCGGCAAAGAGGCACTCCAAAGTTTCTGTACTAACCAGGTGATCAGGCTGTGCATTCGTTTTGTTTCTTTGTATATATTTTTTTTGTACAATATCTAATCTAAACAGTTGATGGTTCAGGTGGAGAAATTTATGGAGTTGTGGAACGAAAACGATGAATTCCGTAAAGAGTACGTGAGATGCAATGCAAGGAGCACGATAAGGAGACTGAGGACATTAGATGGTCGTGCGCTTGGTCCTGATGAAAAGCCACCTGTAATTCCTCATAACGAAACAGTGGCCAAAGATGAAGCACAAGAGAAAGTGGTGTTGGCAAAAGGAGAAAAGGAAAACGATAAGCCTGTGTTGAAGGTTTTAGAGCAAAAGGAGGAGATAAGTGAATCCGTTGCACCAGCAAATGTTTCAATGGAGGAGGCAGGAGATGAAAACATGAAGAGAAGAAAGGAAGAAGAGGAAGAGGAAGCAGTTAAATTGAGAGAGCAGCTCCGGTTGAAGGAGATGGCTAAAGCTAAGGAAGCACTCGAGAGGAAGAGGCGAACGGCGGAGAGGACCCGAGCTCGGGACGCCGAAAGGGCTCTGAAAGAGGCTGAAAAGAAAGAGAAGGTGAACATTGAACAATCCAGTTGATATGTATTCTATTTAGTCTGTTATTTCCAAACTGGCAATACTTTTTTCATCTGCTTCCTTCTACTGATCAAGCAACTTTTTCTTTTACAGCAACGAGAGAAGAGGGCAAAGAAGAAGGAAAGACGAAAGGCTGCCACAGCAGCCAATGATGCGAGCGTTACAGATGAAGCTGCTGAAACCAATGATGCGAGCATTACAGATGAAGCTGCTGACACCAATGATACGAGCATTACAGATGAAACTCTAGTTGAAACTCCCAAAGAACCCAAGGCAAACTCCGTTCTTAAGCGAGGGATGCAGCCATGGCTATGGGTCATTTTAACTTCTCTCCTTTTGTATGTCTTGTTTTTGACAAGGAATTAAGACATATCATTTAGCCATAGGTGATTCTTTTCTAGTTCATTTTTAACATGTTTTCTTATTCTTTTAATTTGTAATTATTTATTAGAAAAGTAATGTAAAAATTCATCACACTTTAGAGTTCGAGGAATTTGTTTAGCGTTAACTACACGGATTATAATTTATGTTTGTTTTTTTATCTACATTTGATCATTGATTTTAAAAGATATAAGATATAGTCACTTTTGTTTTTATTTTAATTAAGATGTGGTCATCCCGAGTTAAATGTCGTTAATAGCAGTTAAATATTTGGTCTCTATTATTTATATAATCTCTTAATTTAGTCATACTTTTAATAAATTAAAATAAATTTAATCATCCAATCAAATGATGTCACATGTCATGCCATGTGTTATGTGTCACAATTCAGTTGGAGGACTAATATCATTTTAGTTTAATATATTTATTTCCACATGTGTCACTCTCTGGTTGAAAGAAAACAGAGGAAAGAAAATTGGGGTAAAAAAGATTCAAATCTTAGTCACTTAGGAAGCTAAACATGTATCCAATCATTAAGTTGAGACTGTTGCTTGGTTTAAAGTAGACAACATGGTGTGTATATTTTGTATCTTAGTGTATGAATACTTAAAATTCATAATATTTTATAAATATTAACTTAAAAAATATTTGTTATATTAACTTATTAAAATATATTTTTATGTTAAAATTTATTTAAAAATATGACTAAATTGAGAGAATATGTAAATAACAGAGACTAAACGTGTGATTATACCAACTATCACGTCACATATTTTGTTAATTGCTAACAACAGTTAACTCTTGATGACTATCTCTTAATTAAATAAAAACAAAAATGATTCTATCTTAATTAAATAAAAGCAAAAGTGATCACATCTTATGTTTTTTGAAATCAGTGGCAAAAAATGGACAAAACACAAACATAAGTGATCATCAGTGTACTTAACCCATTTGTTTATGTGTAAAAATTCTTTGGGGGTTTAAGTTTGTATATATAAAGCATATGATTATTTATTCAGTTTATTACATTCGTGTGTTATAAATGTTTAAACAACATTTTGGTTTAGTTTAGATTTTGTTGATGTTAATATGAGTTGTGGATTAACACCTACAGCCAAATGTATTCTGTAATTAAATTAAATTAAAGGGACCTTTAGTATGAATTTTCAAACAAAGATATATGTGGTTTATATAAATAAAGGTAACATATGATCACTAAGTTTTAATAATTATTTTGTATTCATTTTATAAAATTTGATGATCATTCAAAAAATTGATAAATTCAATATAGGGTAATCTATGTATTTAGTAACTGAATTGTCAGTTTTGATCTGTGTTAGTATTTAAATTTTTAATCTTTTCAAAATTATATCTAGCATTTAATTTTTATCATTTTGGTACCCGTCATTAAAAAATCAACGTGTTTATTATCTAAACTATCTATTTTGGCATGTTTTAGTACCTAAATTTCAATTTTTTAAAACTTAATATTAAATTTGAACAGATACTAAAATGAACAAAAACTAAATTTTTTAACTGTAGGATACTAAAATAAAATAAAAATTAAACTTTAAGTATAATTTAAAAAAACATAAAAGTTTAAATACTAAAACAGATCAAAACTTATAGTTTAGGTACTAAATGCGTATTTTGTCCTCTAGTATATGAGATAAAAATGGAGGGCTAGTTTTGTATTTTTCAACTCCTGCAATAACCTTTTCCTCCCTTTCAATTCAAGTTTCAAAGGCCGGCCTTTTGTCCTTTAGTTTCTTTTTCTAATTTTCCCAGTAAACAAACAAAACGCCTTAATATCGTTTCGAAGCCAAACGAGATTCAATTCATGGTGAAAGGAGGGCAAAACTTGCCGGCTGACGTCATCCAAGTGATCGATCAGCTAGAGCGCCATTGCTTGTCTCCCGATGGATCTCTCATCTCCAAATCTGCCTACTACGATCTCCAACTCGTATTCTCTTTTTTATTTTTATTTTAGAAACAATAATTTTATGATTTTTTGTAGTCTCTCATTTTTTTCTTGTCAAGTAATGCGGTGGTTTTGGATTTTCAGGCAAGAGAGGAAATGTCGAGGGAAAGATTACGCTACTTAGAAGCAATGGTAAGATTCTAATTCGATTTACAGTTTATTTTTGAATTTTCGGTTATCATTTTCGTGAGGAAAAAAAAATTAGAATTGGTTTTAAATTTTGCAGGCAATTTACTGTGAAGCAATAGCTATGGTGGAAGAGTATCAGCAAGCGGTTTCGGTGGGGAATCTCGGAGGGATTCGAGATCTTCAAGGTCTTTATCCGCAGCTTGGATTGAAGAACTCTCCTCAGGTTTCAAATAATGTTCATCAATATTTTTAATTTTTTTTCTTTGTGAATGTTTGCAGAAAGGAGAAACGGATTGGGCATTAGATTATATGAATTTCTTTTGGAAGAAAAAAAGAAAGTGTAAATTATATTTTTGAAAAATTAGATATTGAAAAAATCGAAAAGCGTTGGTTTTTTTTTTACTTTTAATCATATGTGGAAAATTTGTGTTTTGTTTTAGGCATGTTTTGGATTTTATTCCATTGCCATTTTTCAGTTACTAGTATTTATGTTGAAGTACTACAGATGTTGTGGGTATAGGGGTATGATCTTGAAAGACTCAATATAAATGAAATCTTGACAATCAATTGATTATAACGTGTCTAGCACTATAACATAGTTTACAACTTCCTTATAATGTTAAGGAGGATATTTAGAATGTATATCATGAAAATTAAGCAGCAAAAATGATAAGAAAAGAACCTTCATAGATGGGAATCTGGTAAGGTGCTTTATTATGTTTTTATGAACTTTAGGTGTATGAGACTCTAGAGCACCGATTGGCTGTTGCAGAAGCTGCTCAAAGATTGAGACTTCCACTCATATCTAAAGATGGGGAAATACAAGAGGAAGAAATTGAGAAATGGAGTATGATGTCACGGAGTTCTCTGGATAGTACTAGTACTAGTCTCACTATCAGCTCGAGTTCAAACTCTTTGAATTATGCAAATAGTGCTGCAACCAGTGGTGCTGCTGCGAATAGTTCTGGTGATTCAGGAGAACCTGGTGTTGGTGGTGTGCCTAATCGTTTTCTCGGAATAACACCTGCTTATTTGTGGCAAACACAACTCCAACGTATGCCGTTGTCAATGGTATGGAAACTTTTTTTCATGATAGAGATCTGAAAGTTTTTGTTCTAGAAATCTTATCAGAATCTTTATTTACCAGAGGTCCTTGCTTCTGTTGTTACAAACTTTCTTAGAAGAAAATAAGACATTTTCTTCTTCTTATTATTATTTTTTTGAATTTGTGATTTTAGGATATGGCTGACTATCAGTTAGCTCTTTCAAGGGAGATTGATGCTCGTTTGAAATCTAAATGTGACAAGTTAGCAGATGCCTTTGTTGATGATATTGGTAAGTTCATATATCCTACTCCTTTTTTATCTTCTCAAAATGCCTAGTAGTTTATATATGACTATGTGTTTTAACATGTCGTCCTGAAATGATCCATCATTCATAATGTTATGTCCTAAAATTCTTAATTTGTTCTTGGCATCCATGGATCTTGTTGTACATCATCTTGTTGCAAGAGTCAAAAAGCCTAGATTACCAGCAGTGAAACTAAAATGTGATCACAAATATATGAAGCATAGTTTACTTCTTCGAATGGTTATCTCCGTAATATCCCCATTCTTCTTGTGCCACAGACTCGTCTTCTGGAAGTCAAAGTTCGAGCTCTCGGCTTCCAGAAAGGTATTAGTTACTTTCTCCAGTTTTTCAATATGGTTGGCTTATATGCTTGATGCTGATCACGTTTTAGTAATATTTCATTTACCAGGGTTAAGTTGATAATTGAGGAGATTGAGAGGGAAGAAGCAGCTTTGCGGGAGGATCTCTATTCCGCAGATAGGAAATTTGCAGAATATTATAATGTAGGTTAATACTTTTCGGAAAAAAAGAAAATTACAATGATGTAGGTTAATAGCAATCAATATGAGATTGAGCCAGTTTATTTTTTTGGATCACTTCTTCGTCCGAGCAATAAGATTGTTTGGATTACATCATGTTCTGAAAACAGAATTTTTTTTCTTTTAATTTTTTCATGACGTGATGTTAAACAACTTTCGATAACCAGGTCCTGGAGCAAATACTTGGAGTGCTCATCAAGCTTGTCAAAGATTTGAAGTTGCAACATCAACATAAATATGTAAGCATTTATAATCTGGGAATTCTTTAATGTTTCGAGTGGTAAGAGTATATGATTTTATTGGTGTCTGTTGAGGGTCTCATATGTTTTTTCTTTATTCTTCCTTGGACGTGTTTTTACAACTTTTTATAGGATGAATTACAAAAGACGTGGCTCTGCAAAAGATGTGAGACCATGAATGCGAAATTAAGGTTTGTTGCGCTATATTATTTTCTATATTGTGGATTGTTTCCTCTGTTATTGTGTTTTTAAACATCATTTATTGATTTGTGTTGAATAAAACTGGAATAGCTTAGGAGTCATTTATTCTTTTCTGTTGATTCCAATCTCCGGCACGGCTTTTCATATATCCAATTATTGTCTCAGGGTGTTGGAGCATGTTCTCTTGCTTGAAACTTATACACAGGAGTCAATACCAGCGCTACATAAAATACGGTACTTTTAAGGCCGATGTAAATAATTATCAATACAAATTACGGTCTGATATTGGGCCATAACCTTGCCTGATTTTATTGCCAGTAAATATCTCATCGAGGCTACGGAAGAAGCTTCTGCTGCATATAATAAGCTGTATGTTCCATCTTCCATCTTCTAGTTTAACAGTCAATTCTTAGATTAGAGACTTCATAGTTTTGCATTCGAATCTATGCTTGTTTTCAAAACTAATAATCTCTCTCAAAGGAAAACTTTTTTGTTGGGCAAACTCCGGGTTACTGTCTTTCTTGATTTGAAATCGTGTTACAACCTTTTAACAGGTCACGCGCCTACGCGAGTATCAAGGTGTCGATCCTCACTTCGATACAATTGCAAGGCAGTATCATGATGTTGTGAAGGTAGCATCTAACTTTAAGAATTGTTGAGCTTTCCACTCAAGTTTCCTTTTTGACAAAACATTAACATCGCTAGTTTGCTTTTACAGAAACTCGAAAACATGCAATGGACTATTCACCAAGTCGAGATGGACCTCAAGCGCTTACCGGATCATGCGGGTACATAGTCTATGGATCCTTCGATTTTACCATTTGAATAGTTTGTGTGCCATAGGATCACTCTCTTGATTTTCCTTAAAAGCCTTGTACTGTACATGGCTATGAAAATATGACTACCTAATGATCCTTTAAATTCATAAAAGAAATGAACATATTCATATCAGGTGCATGCTTATATCCTATTCCGAATAACACAATCCATTAACACTATAGAAATGAACATATTCATTGTCTATGCTTTCCATCATTGCATTGGATGATGAATATAATTCCTCTATTCCCTTTCAATGCCCCTTTTGGTGCCCCCACCACTTGCAGACTGACACTTGGATTACTCTAATAATTTTTTTAAATAAAAGCATAAAATATTCTTGCTACTCACCCTTGTGTCAGAAAAAGAAAAAGAGTAAATTTAACAAAAAGTAAATTGTATTAGCAATATAAAACCTTACCAATTGTTATCCATTGAACCTATTACCTATTTTGCACCTTAATTCTAAAATCAAGGGTAATTTCAATTGGGTCACTATGTGAGTGTAATAGTCTTTTTTTTTATTAATCTAAAGTGCTTACAAGTGGTGGTATATATTCTGAAAATTCTCAATCATTTGACAATAAACGTTCAAATATTCTACAATCATTGATATTCGAACTTAAAACTTTTAGGGATAATAAATATTTCTTTAACCATTGACATTTGATTCGTACTAATAGTCAATTTCAGCATTAAATAGCAGTTGACAATCACATTCTTCATTGGGCACAATATCCATTATCTAGTGGTTGACAAAATACTTGTTAATTTCTTACTTTAATGCTATTTTTTTCTACTCTTGATTGCCTAACAAATCTTCAAGATATATGGAGAAAGTGACAGGTTATGTACAAATAAATTGACTCGGATTAACATATTTGATCTCTTTTCTTTTTGAAGTATTTAACTTAATTTAACAAGTGAGAGTATGATGAAGTAATAATTTCATTCTATGAACACTTGACTTTCCTACCGACGTAGTAATTACAAGTCAAATTGGAAACTACTGTAGAAGTTAAGTGTTCATATTAGGCTTGTTGGTTTTTACTAGAGGTCATTTCGGAGCAGACTATTTCAGGTTTAGATTATATTTGGTTTAATTTTGTTCGAGTTGGATCGAATCTAGTTTTAGATTTACGATAAATCGGGTCCGGCCAGGTATTGGGTCGGTAATTATCGGATCGGTTGTTTTTCAGTTCGGATCAATAGCGGGTCAGTTGATTTTTGGGTTGGGTCAATATCGGATTGGTTGGTTTTCGGATTGGGTTAACCTTTAAATCATGTCAATTCGAGTTGATTGGTTATGAGTATAATCAAGTATATATAGAATTATTGATATATTCTTGTAAAAAATGTGTCTTCTTGTTTTTAAATCTGATTATTTAGGCCTAATTTCAATTCTCAATCGTTCAATATTTTGAACTAAACCATCATTTAGAGATGATAAATCGATAATTTGACACAAATATGATCCCCATAATACGTGTTAGAGCTTGTTATCAAAATTTTATACTGATCTTGTATGAAAAGTTTATCTATTTGATAAAGAAATAATTTTTTTTATTAAAAATTTTATTTCCAATTTTAAATTTAATATTTTTATTAAAATTTTAAAATAATACATAACTTTATTATAAATATAATATTATTTCTTTTGTTTTAGTTGTTTTCTATTATTTTTATTATAAATCTAATATTTTTATTACAAATAAGATAAGTAAATTTTATTTGTTACTGTTTTCAATCTCCTAATAAGATTATCTTTTTTTTTATTCCTATTATGTAACATAAGTAAACTTTCTTTTATTTTACTAACGAGAGTTTGTTTAAGTTGTAAGCACTTTTATTCGTTTAAGCATGTCTCGAGTTTGAGTTCTTGTGAATGCAGAAAATACCCGCTGGGAGATTCACCCATCAAGGCCATCATATCAAATTTGATTATCATATTCGAGTTAATATCGAGTATTGAGCCGGATAAATCTGTTCGGATAATCGGGTTCATGTAAAATTTGCCAGCTGTAGTTTTTACTCATTAGTAATTACATGAGATCAAATAATAAAAAAATTAATTGTTACCCAAAAAAATCAAAATTTTAAATACATTTCTTAAATTATCCATAAACCCTCTGTATTTCTAATTAATTGTTCTCATTTCATAACCCTCAATATAACTCGAAACTCAACCCTGATCCATAGAATAAAATAAAATAATCCTAAATAAACATTTTTGACTCGGATATTAAATTATACAATTCAAACACATCTTAACCTAATTATTGGACACTTGAAAATGGCGTTTCACCCTACCAAAACTCTACTATGTGCATATTAAACCTAAACTGTTTTACTGGGTCAAGTTAGCTTGATTAAATCAACATTCATGAGAAAATAATCATAATTATTTATTAGATTTATTTTTTTTTTGAATTAATCACTGGTATCCGATCTATTGACCGACTAATTCAGATCAAGTACTGCTAGGGATGGCAATGGGTCGGGTTTTTGGGTCACCCGACCCGACCCGAGAAGAAAGGGGTTTTCACCCGTGACCCGACCCGACCCGACGAAATTAAGGTTTCACCCGACCCGACCCGACCCGAATATATGACTTAGAAACCCGACCCGACCCGACTCGACCCGAAATAATAATAAAAAAATTTTATTCAATGAAAACAGTGACTTAATTGAAAAAAATTATATATGGAGGGACATTATTGTAATTATCCCTAAATATATAGGATAAAATTATATATATTTTTCGGGTCGGGTCGGGTCGGATTTTTTTCACCCTAAACCCGACCCGACCCGACCCCGAAATTTTTTTAAAAAAATCCGACCCGATCGGGTCGGGTCGGGTTGGAACCCGTCGGATTCGGGTTGAGTTGTCATCCCTAAGTACTGCAGAAGCGATGGCGACCCCTCCAACCCAGTTTGCTCAATTCACAAACGTCAGGATTTGAACCCCTGATCCCTTACTTAAGGGACCTAATGTCTCATCCCACTAAACCAACTGATTGTTTGCATATATTAGATTTATGTACTTAAGTTAATTATAACTTGTTTGAAATATTCTTCAAAACGTGCGTATAATGAAAATCAAGAACGTAAATTTGGGTCAAATTCTTTTGCCAAGTGAACAATTTGGACTAAACGAACAATATAATAGTATTCCTTCATATTACGTAAAAGGACCTTTTTGTACTCAAAATTGCACGGCTGCATGAACTAAGCATGGAAATACATTTTGATTAAACTAATGCTTTTTAGAAAGGTTGTCAAAGCTTATCCATAATTGAAAAAAGTAATTGAACCATTTACATTAAACCCAGATTCATTAAGATATCTTTTATTTATTTAAAGTTTTGGATTTTTTTTAAATGTATATATATATATATTATTTATGGACAGATGGTAGTCTTCCATTTTGGATTAATATTAAGGAATGTATACCACATAGATGAATATTACCCATTAATGTTGAATGTAGAATTAAAATATTAAAATACATACATCGATTGACCACCTACCATGGAAAATATGATATTAAAATGAAGATGGAAAAGGGAAAAAAAGTACGAATTTTCCCATGAAAATAATCTATTATTCAAAATCGAGACTTTCAAATAATTTTTTTCTATTTTTAATAAGTACTTTTTTTTATAAGAGAACAAGAAGTTGTTTGGAATCATTTTCAAGATGTAAGATTGTACGAGATTATAGTAATATTTTACCATTATATCTCAAGTTTAATTATTAAAAAAGTCTGTCCAAAAATTAAAAAAAAAAGCAAGTATGCTCTTATTATTTGAAAACAATAATGTATTTTTTAAATATATATATTATATTATAATTAATAAAAATATCATTTTTTATTATTAAAATTATGATATGATCCAAATGGAATTTGTACGGAGAGACCTAATATTTTATGTTAGAGGACGAAATAATGAATTTTTTTTAAAAAAAATAAATTATTAATAAAAATATTTATATTATTCATAAATTTAAATTTTTTAAAAAGGTTTAATACCAAAATAAGTGCTCAAACTATACCTCTTTTCACGAATATGTGCCTAAAGTTTTTTTTTTACTTATCTTGGTGTCTAACGTTATAAAATGTTATCATTTTAGGTGTTCGGCCCATCAATGACGTTAATTTTTCGTTAAGTGACATGTGTCACAATATGATATTTTTACATTTGTTTTTAAAAAAAATATTATTATATTTATAAAAAAATATTAATTTCTCTTGAATTATAAAAAAACCCTAAAATTCCTAAATACTAACCTTAACCCCTGCTGCCTTTTCCGGCCACTGCCACCACCGTCGATATAGTTGCTGCCATCTTCCTAGTCATACGTTGTCGTAGTTACCGTCGATTGGCCGTCGGAATAACGTGAGATTGTGATTTTTATCATAGGTTTGTGGGGTATAAAGCGTCAATTCGTTGTCGATCGATCACGATTTTATAGGGATTTTGATCTGGGGAGGAGATAAGGTTGGGTGGAACTTTGTCGACGTCAAAAAGAGACGGACGACGTGAGTTTAGAGATTGAAATAAATGTTTTCAAAATTTTGGAGTCATTTAAAAAATATTTATGTATTTTTTAATATTTTTTTAAATTTTAAATAAATTTTTTAAAATTATCAAATTATAACACACGTCACTTAATTGAGAAAATTAACACCATTGATAATCGAATTGCTTTATTAAATTACTTTATTAAGTCCCTTAACTATTAAAGCAACCCTATGCAAAAGCTGACTCCCAATCCCCCCCTACTCCAACACTTTGGTCCACAAATATCTTAACATACCATTTAAAGTTATACACTCATATATAAATATAATGAAAATTTTTTAAAAAACTCTTATGTTGTCCTATATCTCATTTAAAATTTACGAGATAAAATTGTAAAGATTTAGGAGTATATATTTAAATAATAATTTATAAATATAAAAATATCAACACGACATAAATCATAGGGTAAAGTACGCAAATGATTCCCTGACTATAAGATACTTCTTTATTAACTATCTCGATTATTAAAACTTATAAAATAGTCATATGACTGTAAAATGTTGCTTTATTAAGTCCCTTAACTATTAAAGCTATAAAATAGTCACCCGACTATTCATTATGTTCCAAAGTTGTCTTTTTTTTATTATAAAATATTGGCGATTGTCTAAGCTGGACG